GATTTTGACTCTGGTAATCACTTGACAATTTCATCTTTAGCAGGTTTTGAACCCACACAGACTGATTTATATTCTGTTTGATTGACTGCTTGGCTAAGACCAGTTGAATACACTTGCAATGACCCCAATCAAAAATGAATCCACAAGGAAGTTCTTTCAATAGTATGATTGCCATAATTGATTCTTTTATTTTACTCTTATTGCAAAAGACATCAGACTTCTTCTGGGGCTCTTGACTTCAAGACCTGTTTATCTAGCAATTGCTCTGAAAAAGTGCTGATGACAGACCATCATGGTGGGCCAATGATGTTTGTAATGTCTTAGAATATTAACAGCTGGGTCATGAGTGACAACTGACATTGGAAAAATTGAACTTTTGTACCTTAAGGGTTCACTTCTGAATGAGTTCATGAAAAGTGCATCTCACTGGTCTTAGCCAAGCAGTTGATACAATAGAATCCAAATCTGTCTGTGTGGGTTCAAAACCTATCAAATATTAAATAGCCAAGTGATTGCCAGAGTCAAAATCTGTTTCTCTTGGATTGTGCAGGTTTAAAACCTGCCAAATATAATTTTCATTTTCTATAAAAATGCGCCTTGATATATGCTCATAGTCGGTTTGCTTAAAACCTCATCAAAGTTGTGTTTAGATAAGTGGTTGTCATAACACAATCAAAATCTGTTTCCATTCAAATGCAACAGGTTTCAAACTTGTTGAATGTCACATTTTTTCTGTTAGAACATGATATTTGCTCATAGACAGCATCTCAGACACTGATCTATATGTTTTTTTTCCTGTTAGAACACACCTCAAAATGGACTCATGTGTACTTTCCTGAAAGCACCATCTCACTGGTGGTGTGATTTCATACAATAAAAATGATATCATCAGTGGATTTCAAACCTGCGCAATCCAAGAGAAACAGTGGTCTGTCATCAGCACTTTTTCAGAGCAATTGCTAGATAAACAGGTCTTGAAGTCAAGAGCCCCAGAAGAAGTCTGATGTCTTTTGCAATAAGAGTAAAATAAAAGAATCAATCATGGCAATCATACTATTGAAAGAACTTCCTTGTGGATTCATTTTTGATTGGGGTCATTGCAAGTGTATTCAACTGGTCTTAGCCAAGCAGTCAATCAAACAGAATATAAATCAGTCTGTGTGGGTTCAAAACCTGCTAAAGATGAAATTGTCAAGTGATTACCAGAGTCAAAATCTGTTTCTCTTAGATTGTGCAGGTTTGAAACCTGTCAATGATAAATTTTATTTTCTATAAAAATACACCTGGTTTTCTGAGAAACTCATCTTAAATGATCTTAGTCATGTCATTGCCACAATAGATTCAAAATCTGTTTCCATTGAAGTCTGCAGGTTTGAAACCTGTAGCCACATTTTTTGTATTAGAACATTTCTTGGATATTTGCTCACAGACAGCATCTCAAATATTGATCTTCATTAGTCTTAGTCGAGTTGTCACCACAGTCAAAATCTGTTTCTCTCAAACTGTGACTGTGTAGGTTTAAAACCTACCAATGATAATGTTTTTGTTTTTATTCCATAAAATAATAGTATAGCAAGCAAACACTGATGATCTTAAGCTTGATTGACATTGCTGTTGGTTTCATGCATCCTTTTTTGATCACAACAAAACTCACCAGAGGTGAATGCAAGTATTTTCAACAGAGTTCAATAAATAACCAAAGTCTTGATGCAAACTTGGAAGGATAAGTATAAGAACAATCTAATTCTTTCCATAGGTTTTGAGTTGGTTGAAGAAGAAGAAGAAGAGCAGATTATACATCAAACTTTCAAGTTTGATTCCAATCACCTGAGGAATGAGAAAAAATACAAATCTATCAATGCTAATATTGTGCTTAGAGCATTCACTTATGAATGGGTTCATTGCAGGTGTATTCAACTAGTCTTAGCCAAGCAGTTAATACAACAGAATCTAAATTTGTCTGTGTGGGTTCAAAACCTACTGAAGATGAAATTGTTAAGTGATCACCAGAGTCAAAATCTGTTTCTCTTGGATTGTGCAGGTTTGAAACCTGTCAATGATAAATCTTATTTTCTATAAACATACACCTGGTTTTCTGAGAAACTTGTCTTAAATGATCTCTGATCAATCAAATGCACCTGCACTCAATCTTGGATGATGGTGAAGCCAATGAGGGTAGTCTCCATCAATAAGAAGTTGTCAAATTGTTATATTGTATTGCAGGGAGTTGCGATGATTCATTCGAGGCACACAGCATGCTGATTAAGTTAAGAGTGTTAAAGTGAGAGAAGTGGAAGAAATCTCAATTCTTGATCATTCATAATGGCAAGTTGGCAACAGGCAGCCAGCTGCACAGATACAATGTTTTTTACAAATAATAGGTAATTAGTATTCAACATTCAACAGCTTCAATCTAGTAACCAGGAGTCCTTGTACTCATGTAAAGTCAGATCCAGGCGACCCTAGTTCTTTTCCAGAGCGGAGTAGAAGTAGCTGCATGCAGGGGGGCCATTATGTGGGCACAAACTTGCAATCACATCAGTTCAGAAGTAGGAACATCATGAGTGGACTGCTTACATCCGAGTTAATCTGCGAAGTGGCGGACATGGAGGCACTGCCTCAATTAACCAGGGAGAATGTGAGAATGAAGGGGAATGTGTGATAGGTGCATTAGGCTGGTTGAAATCCAGCAAGCATGCAGCTGGTGCTATTACACACTCAAATAGGTCTGTTATGTGGTGAAGGTACAACAATTCAGATAGTGAGTCTGAACAATATTGGGTCTTGCAGAACCTAGCTGCTATTCAACTCTAAAGGGTTTCTGGACAAGGCTCAAGGCTCAGAGAAGAGAAAATATAATAGAAACTTGCTAATCTCTCAGACTCATACTGATACTGGTGAAAGGATAACTTGCTTATGTAAGCTACAAAAGTACCAACATAAGGTAAGGTAAACACAGTCTCTACCAGCCCAGCCAGAAATAAATCCCTACAGTGGAGCACTAAGAGGGGTGTTGTTAAGACCATGCACAAAGGGTAGGACTGATTCTGAGGGGCTTGGCTTCAGCTCGTGCACTGCGCCCCTTACCCGAGTATGTGCCCTTAATTTCAGATTGGTGTCCGAGGAAAGTCCGAAGACATCCGAAGACATCTGAAGGACATCCGAAGGCGTGGGAAACTTCGGAAGGACTTTCCGGACGGGTACAAGTAACTTCCAGATGAGTGCGGGAAAGTTCCGGAGGAACTTCCGGAAATTACAATGGGGTTTCATCCTAATACAGATACGTGTAATGGCTACTCAGGACTTGTCCTGAGTAGAAGCAAACAGAGGAAAGGCTGCAAGGACAAAGTCCGAAGCAGAATAGGTCCGGAGGACCACGGGAAAGTTCCGGACGAACTTCCGGAACTTCGGATGAGTGGAGGAGCGGAGGAGCAGAGCTCTGGCCTAGGGAGAAACTCCCTAGGCCTGAGATGGATATCAATTAAGTTGGAAGACTAGAACCGATATGAGGACTTAGAGTGAAGACTAGTGCGAGGACTAATATGATATTCAGACTGAGGTACTACAAGACATATACATGAGTTTATATACTAAGAGAAATAATGGAAGGATCAATAAGCAGAGTCCGAGGCTATGTATGAAGCATATGCAAAGGTTGACAAACGCGAGTTGGAAATGAACATAGGTTAACGGATCAGTAAGCATACCGGTAATAGATATAACCGAGGTACCGGTAACAAGGAATACCGGATAGGCTGTGTTAACGTTATATGCACAGGAAATGAATTATGAAGCTTATCGTATATCGGATAGGAAACGGATCTATACATCGGATCGGACCAGATCGGATATGGTCTGGATGAGATGCGTGGATATATAGGATGTGGCATTAGGGCGATGGGACAAGGATGAATGATGCAGGCTAGCTGCGAAGAATAAGGGATCTGGACGTGGACATGCGGATGTGGATGTGCAGAGGTGCAGGGATCCGGATGGGTACTGGAGACATGGATAGCACATCTGAAGGTCCAGATGAGGCATGGGAATATTATCGGATGTAGGTCCGGAATACGGGATATGACAGGTGTCATCTGCTAATATTCGTGACATAACCAGGAATGCCTGATGTAGCAACTGAGACTGATAATGTTGAGTCAGCAGATATCAGAGATGCGCGTGTCATATGACTTCTAGGATAGATGTCTTGGAAGTCACCAGGCTCAAGGTGAGGACAGACTTGTCCTAATGGTGAGTGTTGATTGAGATAGACTTAAGCACAAAGAGCACTTAAGAAAAGATACTAGAGACTGAAGCTGAGGGGCTTCAGAGAGAAGTATGTTCCAGGGAAGATTGAGCAGATCAAGTTAGAGAATCTGGTACAGGATGACCAACTACTTATATTAAGTAGAAAGGGTCAAGGGCAAGGCTACTGTACTGTAGGTAAGGGTCAAGGGGAAACGAGAATGGTATAGGTACACTGGCAGCAGAACCAGATTAGTGGTGGATGGTTGAATGTAGAATGAGACCGAGAAACATTGGAATGAACCAATGGTAAAGATACAATGCACAGCAGGCATGAGTCAGGAGATAAGATAGGATGAGATAAGGGAAGACCACTTTGGTGGCATGAGTCATAGCCTGAAGGCACATGCGCACGTTGGTGCGAGAGGGGGGAGACAAGGGACTGGAACAGTCCCAAGGATCCAATCAACAGATATTTGGTAGAGAAGGACGAGCCAGTAGCAGGTGAGGGTAAGGACGAAGGGAAAATAATAGGGGGGCCATGTAGCTGATGTTACTTGTAACAAGTGCAGATGATGAATGAAGGTGGTTATAATCAGGATCCTCTGAGAATGCAAGAGAGCATGTGTAAATGATAATCATTGTGAACTTGACAGGAATTCCCTGACATAGATTTTCAATGGTAGTGTTGACTTTATGCTCGAGTATTGAAGAGCTGCAAAGTTTGTCTTTATCGTGGTTAACCATAGAAGGGAACCCTACAGGAAGTATATCAACATGTATGTAAGTGACTCGAGGTTATCATGACAACCCAGTTCAACTTTCAAGTGATTGTTGACTGAAGCAAATGCAGGAGTGCCAGCAAGACATTGACCTTGGCAAAATGGAATGTGGACATTATTTGATGTGTTCCAGAACTCCTTTGTGATTGCAAAATAAATAAGAAAGATGGTGTCACTCAAATCACCAAGCCTCACAATGACATTCTGTGGTTTTATATTACCGTGAATATAATGATGCGAGTGAATATACTGTATCATTTTGACCTTAGATTCATGGGAATTTCAGCACTGCATTACCTAATGGTTTTGTGACAGGTTCGTCTCTCAAGGACAGCTGTGACAAACTTACAATAGGTTCATAGGTTCATAAGGTTCATATTCAGTAGGATAATATATGCACTTTCTACACAAAGTATAGCTCAAAAATGACAATAAGAAGGGAAAAAAAAGTGGTTAGACAAATGTTTTCATCAAAAAACATATCTAAAAAAAACATATCATATGTTATGTCACAAAATTAGGTTTGTTGACCCAAAACAGCTGTGACTGACACAAAAAATAGCACCTGGGTTTCCCCTGTATCTTCCACCCATAGTACCATGCAGTGTGTGATGCCCAACACCTCCCAGTCTCTCCCGCTCCTTCCATAGCTACACAATGTGCAGCAGTCCTCACTGGCTACAGCCCTTGCTGGTCTGCAGTCAAGCTCTCCTCCAGGAACAGCTTCTGTCATGACCTCCCATAGGACCCATACTCATCCACCGGTCCCCGACATAGCACTATACAGCACTTTTGGCAACATGTCCTTTCCCTTGTGGTCGCAATGTATCCTTTTCCTTGCATCTCAACGTATCCTTTGCCTCACGGTCTCAACATATCCTTTGCCTCACGGTCTCAATGTATCCTTTCCCTCGCGTCTCAATGTATTTTTTCCCTTGTGGTCTCAATGTATCCTTTCCCTTGTGGTCGCAACATGTCCTTTCCCTTGTGGTCGCAACATGTCCTTTCCCTTGTGGTCGCAATGTGCACTAGGCTTGTATGTATGCCCTCCATCTCTCTCTCTCTGCCCTCTCAATGTCTCGCCCACAGAAGTCAACCAAATCAGTGATTTGTCTAAATCAGCCATCACACATGGTTTCAAACACAGCCAGCGTACTTCTGGTGTTCTTACTGCTTCAGCTCAAAAGAAGCGCATGGATGCTGTTGAAACTAGGCGCCAGTCTGAGCTGCGAGGTATGTGTATTGTATGACTGCTGCTCAGAGCTGATGTAGTCTTAGAGTTACCTGCAGTGGATCGAGAAAATGTTGAGAGCATGATCGCTGATCAAGGCATGATCATCGACGACATACCATATGAGCCAGCCCCAGGTGATGAGGGACTTGACCTCAGCCACGAAGGTGGTAAATATGAGGCATTTGAAGGGCTCTTTCACACATTGGCAGACCTATCTGAATTGTAGGTGTGCATTTCTTTTTGTACATACACATTCATCATTTGCCCGTCAGCCGCTATGTGGACCCTAGGACTCGACGTGATTGTATTGACCTTCAAACAAATCATTGGGATACGCAAATGAACCAACTCATTAGTGTCTATCTGGACTACCAATCTCATGATTCCAGCGATGGTATGCCTCTGCCAGCACCTACTGTCTTGAATGAAAATGAAAATCCTTCTCTCAACACAGCCCTGGTACTCAGTAACATTGAGCTTGTCGACACTTTTTGTAGGTCCTGACTATTGTCACTGCTGCTTATACTTACTTAAGTTTGACACACAGTTCGGCACCGAGCATCATTTAATGCACTGCAATGCTATATGTACCCCAATGAAACGCTAATCTATAATGGTTATCTCGGCTGTTCACCTTTGTATCCGAACATCGCTATCAGCCTTTGCACCCTTGCAGCCTATCGCCAAGCTCACCGGACTTGTCCTCAATTCAGCATCCAGGCACAATGCAAAATGCTATGCTACTTACATGATGTTTGTACTAGCTTATTTTTTGTGTTTATTTAATTTACACTTCAACTTCAGATGCTGTATCGCCCATATCTCCGCTCTCAATTTTTGGCTGCCTATGATGCTTTCCTTGAAATTGTCTATCGTGTTGATGTATTGCTGAAGCAGACACTTAAGCACGACACCCCAAACTGGCGGTTATTGAATGTGTGCCTGCCATGTACTTACAAACTGGTGGACGAACCACCACTCCAATTTACTTGGTTTGCCACCATTGACAGCAATAATATCCTTAAGCATTGGGCATCTTTGGTTCATAATTCTGTTCCTCATGATGACTCTCATCAGCCAAGATCGGACTACTGGATCGGTTGCGACGTAGTAGACAAATTCAAAGACAAAGTCAGATCAATAACTGTAGGTGCGCTATGGATTAGTTTTGAGCATGTGAAATAACCCTATGACTAGGCACTCAACAAGGATGACAATGTTGATGACTGGCAGGATGTATGTGATGATAGAGAAGTCCCAGGCGAGATCCCTTTCCATTGTACAGCCCGTTGGTGCAATGCTGGGCCCGAACAACGCAAGAAAATGTTTTCAGTATTCGACGAATCTGGCATTTTCATTGCTGCATGCCGTCACCATTTTGTCTTAGTGGCCTGCAATATGATTCGCAGCGGAGAATTGTGAGTACCAACACCACCAGCACCAGATAGGCTAAAACTAATATTCATCATTCAGAGCGAAGTATCCGCTCGCTTTAATTGATCATCTAATGACTGTATATGGGCAGAATGGCTTGTGCGCTTACGACATTGGTTGTGCATTTTTGAAGACATTGAGTACTAGTTCTTTGTGTCCGCGTGCACATGCACTTGCTTTATGCATGATGGTGGGTGCATTCCATGGACATGCACATAATCGCAAGTGCCAGCTGGACTGGCACCCTATGTATATAAGTGGGACTGGCCATACCGAAGGTGAAGGCTGTGAACACATTTTCTCGTCATCGAACGAGCTCGCACGGAGTTTGCGACACGCTAGTCCTTTCCATCACCATCAGTCTATTGAGGAACATTTTGGCTTCTGGGACGCTGATAAATACACTGCCCTGAGTAAGCAATTTTCATCACTAGCACCCTGATCCTGAAATTTCATAGGCAATTTTTTGTTCAATCATTACCGGGAAGCCATACATGGCATTCAAACCCTGCAAGCTGAGCTCTCCATCATCAAATGTGAATTAAATCTGGATGATACAGACTTTGTGAAGTTTTACAACAAGGAAAAGTTGTATCTTGATCGCCTGAAAGAACCTCCAATCCAAGACCGTCTTTGTATCCGATATGTTGAAGTCCTAGATGACCTTGAATTGTGCCGGTGAGTGGCTGTCTCATATATTACTGTTTTGTTGAATATGTTTAAATTGCAGGGAGGAATGGAACACTGCTCAATTGGCTGCCAATAATGCACTAACTACTATTGGAGTCAGCAATTTCTCAGAGATCAGCACCGCCCTGACTACAGCTCATATCTGTGTTGATGCTGCTTACGCAAAGTTGCAAAATGCTGAAGCCTTAGTCGCCCATATGGAAATTCAACTTCACATTGAGCAGTGCTGGGTTATCGGAGGTCCCAAATACGTTCAGTTCAAAGATGAAGCAGCATTGGGCAAGTATCATACAGTGTTAAATGAGCTGGAGCGCCTTGTAGTCATGAGGCTTTTTGAGCTCTCAAAGCTTTCATTGTCGGGCACAGGTATTATGTTCCATCTTGTTATATTTTACTGTTTCCATATTTGCTTTCAGGATACAAACTATGTCAGCAAATTGGAAAAGCACTACAGTGCCGTTCAGAGGCAATCCACAATGAAATCAACTGGTACAATACTCAGGCTGCTGCACTCAACCCGCCACATCCAAAATTGTCCTGGAAGGACATTGCGGAGTACAGCTTCTTGGGAGAATTCGACTTGTTGTGTCATTCACGCACAGACATTTGGGAACTCGACTGGACAAAACCTGCTCACTGTGAGGCCACCACAAAGTATTTCAAACTGTTGCATGCTCAAGAAGAGGTATCTTGCCTCAATGTCGAAGTCCATTGATTATGAACCTTCATCCATGACGAGGAAATCGAAACAAAGAAAGTTATCAATGACCTTCAATCATCTAATCCCCTCCTCGCATCTGAGCTTCAGCAACAATGGCGAAGTCGCTCGGCCACCAACGTGTTTCACATTTTCTGTCTCAATCAGATCGAGGGCCTCCCAGGGTACTCAGGCGCGCAGGGCATTGGAGTGCATTCTCACATAGCAGGAGATTTGGATGTGCGTGAGACCATCGCTTCTGAGTATGCAGATGCAGACATTATACGGCAGGAAGAGCATGCTGAAGAGATGGAGACTATGGGTAGCTATCTCAATTCCATTGTAGATAGTGCAGTGTACATTCAAATATATGTTGAGTCCTAAGTAGCAGATGTAGCTACTGTACTTTCAACAAAATATGACATGTTTTAACAGATTGTCATTTGAATTTGTATATGGCGACTCCGAATCAGTTGCGCTCAGGGCTTGCCCCTGAGCGCAACTATCATGATTCGGAATCGCCATATACAAATTCAAATGACAATCTGTTAAAACATGTCATATTTTGTTGAAAGTACAGTAGCTACATCTGCTACTTAGGACTCAACATATATTTGAATGTACACTGCACTAGCTACCTGTAACAGTCGTGTCTATATGATTCGGCACTCGGTGTGGCAGGTTTAACATTTCCTACTGTGCGTATGTGAATCAGGTGACTACCATTATTACTTGTAGCACTCGCTATCTATTTTTGACCATCAACTTCAGCTCGATTCTCAATCTCATACCTATTCTAGTTTCTTCTCTGCCTCTGTCTCAACAGCAATGGTCAAATCAAAACCCACCAAACTTGACCCCATAATGGCCCCATCTTTCTCAGTCCAGAGCATAGCGGCACTTTACCACTCTGCTTTTGCTGAAGGTTACAGCAATTCTGAATGACAGGCTGCAGCCCATGTGCTGCTTCGACACGATGTCCATCTAGACGGAACACACTACCATGCCAGGAAACCAGGCGGCCTTCATCCATCCTATGCAGCATTCAACCCTTCTGTTACAACAAAGGACTTCCCTCTCTCACGAAGAGTTGGTTGAAGCCTCACTGTAAGATGTTTTTGATTCTGTATGTGCCAGCCTTTTTTTCATGTGGATTGAATCAAATACTCCTGCAGATTGCCATGCAAGACCATCTTGATGGAGGGATATCAATTCTCATCTGCTGCCCAGGTTTCAAGGCTGACACCACACCCTCTCCAGAAGAGGTGGCACTTGACTTATATGTCACTTCATGCGAGCTGCAGGAGAGCTCTGCATGAATCGGCAGAGATGTTGCCATCTTGGAGCAAGCTTTTTGTGAGGAATTTGTCGCTCCACATGCAGAACGCTTCATGAAGCATTGTCATATTGAAGGTATTGAGGCCCTCATTGTTGTAAGTTGGTTTCAGTCCATTTTTCCATCATTTTCATGATCTTTTCCAGTTGCTTCTACACGTATCAATCTCTGCGAGCTGCCGCACCTTCCAGCACCTAGTGTTCAGGCTATCCTAAAGAGTCTTTCGAGCAGGAGCTTGCATCTGGATTGAAGAGTCCAACATTATTACCTGCTTCAGCTGCTATTCGCCATGCCACTGCTCAAGCGTCCACTGGTCGTTGTGGTACTGCTCAAGTTGCCAGTCCTCGTGCTCAGATCTATCATCGCCATCCAGCGGATGCTTTTCTCACCAAGCCCATTGTTTTGGGTCCGCCACTTATTAGTATTGGCCCGCATACTGACACTATTCTTGAGCGGTTTGAACTGGGTGATGAAATCCTTCCAAAGTTGCATACCTTGATTGCCACAGTTTGTAATACCTGTTGGGAGGAAAATATGCGCTCTCCCAAAATGGGCCTCAATTACGAGCAAGCATCTAAACTTAATTGGGCTCTTCATGCTGATTTGCAGCTTGGCTCGAGCTTCAGGGTAAGCAAAGATCTAATTTTTGACACTTCACATTGCACTAATGTTTAATACAAGGCTTCTTCTTCATCCTCCATTTGGCAAATTATCAGGATCATGGCACTAGTTTTCGTTACCCTTGCTGGTTGCTGTGCATTTTACCTTTTTTATCTTGTTTTCACGTAGATCTGTCTTTGGTTTAGTTTGCATCTACTAGCATGGATGATGACACTAATGTCGTGCATAATTATAGTAAATAGACTGTCCAAAAAACAATCCTTTGATCCGGTGTGATTTTACTGTCATTGCATGATATATATCAGAGGCACTGATTTGCACCCCCATTTCCCTAGGCTGATATGGCAAAGCGCACCCAAGGACTAGCTAAGCCGGCTCGCACTAAGGTGCAGCTTAGCAAAGAGGCTCATGCTGTGATCACACTATGACGCCATGAAGCTTCTCAAAAATTTCAGAATGCTCTCGAGGACACCTGGCAGGCCATAGACGATGCTACCATAAAGATTGCTTTGGAGCACAAGAAAAGTGTCCGTCGAGTGCAACATGAATTGCATATAGGACACTCGCTGCTGCAATTGAAGCATTCCAAGGTCAGCGCATGGAACTCTTTCATATGGAAAAAAGGCCAAGACAGCAACAAAGAGAATTGTGAGTCTTCATGTTTCTTTCTTTTAATATAGCCTAATCTGATTATTTTTTTTCACAAAGACGGACACAGCAAATATATACTTGAAGGGATCACAAAGGACTTCAAAGACGAGTACTATAGCCTTACTGAGGAGGAGAAAGCAAATCTCATCGAAGAGTACAAGGAATACAAGGCTATCAAGACTACTGGGGCAACACATTTCAACTAAGTTGAAGATCAACGACTGTCACGCACACTCTCAAGGCTGTTGAAAATGAGGTACAATTTTCTGTTGTGTCCCACAGCCAACTGCCAGTGTCTAACTCTTGAATTTACTAGCTCAATAGTCTCTGCTCTCGTACTGGAGCAGAGACAATTATGTACATGACCCGAGGGACTACCGACCTTCCTCTATGTAGTGTTACTTTTGCGACCGAAGGCGTTCAAGAGTTCATGGAATCTGCGATGGGCATCGATAATCAAGACCTGGTGAGCAAGCTGGAAGGTTTGCGATACAAGGCATGCCAGGTATGTGTTCATAATTGCGGTTTTTGTTGGGTACTACTTAGTACTGACCTTGTGCAGGGGCAGCAAAGAATCATCAGCAGCACGTGGCTAAAGTATGTGCCCTCATCCACTCTAAAATTAATGAAGCCCTCCATGAATATCAATTCAATTTTTTCAAAGTCTAACATTTGTCTGACAGATGGTCTCCAGAGACCGTTGCCAGAGACTCAAATGCCAAGATGCAATGGGCGCAATATTGGCGGAACATTGTTAAATGGTACTCTGTAATTATCAAGGGCTGGCCAGAGCAAATTCCATTTGCAAATCTCAGCGCAGTCTCTAGCTCCCTTCCCAAACTCGAGATGCTTCTAAGGAAGTGGAAGTCTGGGGCCATCTACTGGAAGCACCTTACTCCAGAAGAATTAGAGCATATGGACAAGGAGAGGGACAAAGGTATCGAAAATGGTGCAATAGCCGAGAAGCACCGGTGTGTTTGCTCTGACAAGGGCAAGAAGAGACACTGTGATGCTAATGATGACACTACTCAGTGCCAGAGGAAGAAGGTATATAAGAGTACAGAGATGGTCAGCAGCTGATGATGAGGAAGAGAACCTTGACTTGACTGTGCCCCCCGCTGATGATACACCAGGATCACCAGTGATATCCCCACCATCCAACATGTCTATCCCCAGCACTAGCAATGCTTCAACTCCCCCGCCCACCCCGGATGGCACCAATACAACTCCTGTGCTAGAGCCTAACTTCACTCAGAGCGCCAACAACCTGCCCTTTCCAGACCTCACACCTCCATTCACATATCCACCCTCCACCCCCGGCAGCCTTGGGCCAGCCCCATCTATCCTTCCAAATCCTCACCCAGACTTGAGCTTGTCGTTGCCTCCAGGTTTCGAAGATTTTCTTGCGAACTTTGATCCATCTCTCATGCCTTTCTAAGTCTTCAAGTTATTTCTTGCAGTAGTTTGATCTTCGTACAGTCACAGCCTTATCACAGAACGTATAGACAATGTTTGAGCAAATGATTGTCATTTTCAGTACATATTACACAGCCAATACTAGTGATTTGTTTTTGCAACGAGCACCGCATCATCATCTCGCATCATTATTCAAGGTGCTACTAGTATCTCAGTAATAAGTGCATGAAAAATGATACATTGCAACCAAGAGGGAAAGGATGAATTGAAACCGCGAGGGAAAGGATATGTTGAGACTGCGAGGGAAAGGATACATTGAGACCACAAGGAAAAGGATACATTGAGACCACGAGGGAAAGGATATGTTGAGACCGCGAGGGAAAGGATATGTTGAGACCACAAGGCAAAGGATACATTGAGACCGCAAGGAAAAGGATACATTGAGACCACGAGGCATAGGATACATTGAGATGCGAGGAAAAGAATACATTGCGACCGCAAGGGAAAGGACATGTTGCCAAAAGTGCTGTATAGTGCTATGTCGGGGACCGGTGGATGAGTATGGGTCCTATGGGAGGTCATGACAGAAGCTGTTCCTGGAGGAGAGCTTGACTGCAGACCAGCAAGGGCTGTAGCCAGTGAGGACTGCTGCACATTGTGTAGCTATGGAAGAAGCGGGAGAGACTAGGAGGTGTTGGGCATCGCACGCTGCATGGTACTATGGGTGGAAGGTACGTGAGTGCGTGGGAATGCGCAGAATAGACATTGGGGAGGAAATGCACAGGCTGCGGGCATTGCCAGTGGCAAGGTAGATCTGGTAAGCGGTTAGATAGGTAGAACAGGTAGATAGCCCAAGTACCTAGGTTATTTAGGGCAGTATTTAATGCTGGTGTTGGGGAAACTTTGTTGTTGAGCCAAATAAGTGTGGGTGAGACACATAATCATCCAGGCTAATAAAGCTTACTTATTGGGAAACCCAGGTGAAAAATAGGTTCGGTTCATTGGGCTTGCAACGGTGTGATGAACCTAAGGTCGAAATAATACAGTATTCAAGGCATGAAAGCTGGGAAACAGGGTTAGTGATCTGCACATGCAACAACCCACACACATCAACTGACCAGCTGGTCTCTCAGATTCACAACAGTGTCAAGGCTGATTGTTGTGGGTAAGGAATAGGTCATGTAGTGATGGCCCAAGGAGGTTGAGAACCAGAGCATGATATGTCAACTCCCTACCAAACCAATGGACATGGAGAATACCAATATCACCTTCAATGTGTTTCAGTATTACATACACTGGTCATGTAACTCATGAGTACCACCTTGTTAAAATTGTAAACAGCCATCACAAAGTCTACCTTAGGCAAGAGATGTCAATTGTATTGGAGAGATGCAGGGCTTCTTACAAGAGCTTATCTCTCAAGTATCACAGTAATGAGGTATTATGAGACATATATTAATTTGTCAAAGTTGGGTCTGTATTGCACTTTCTTATCCTTGAATGGCATTGTGCTTTGTGTACATATTCATTTGTCTTCAGATATAATCTAGTAGATATTTGGTCTGAATTTGCCATGTATATCTATGAAAACCAAGTTCTCGGTGATTCCCTGATGTCAAAGGTTCCTCAGTTGCTGATTCTCACTTACACCATTGACTCCTGAAAACCTTGTTGAGAGCCGATGTGTCCGAGGAGAGTAAGGCCAAGAGGGAGAGAGCCGAAGGGAAGAAGGGCACGACAGCCGAAGAATAGAGCACATCAAGTGCAAGCATCTCCAAATGGAGAACATCGACGATGTGTCAACATCGGTAATCTTTTCATCTTTTAAGTATATATTTTTTTCATCAAAGCTATTGCTGGCAGACTCACCATATAAGAGGACACTGCCTTCGTCGAAACATCTCAGATTCGAAACGAATACTGAGACATGAGTAAAAGTCCCACTGTAATGTTTGAGTACAAGTGCTGACGTACATGTAGTTGTACCTTTGTCTAGGTACAAACATTTGTTAATAGAGATTCGAAATGAATACTGAGACTCGTACCTTTGTCTAGCATGCCCTGAAGCTCCCGCTCATATAATATCTCCACAAACCTATGGTAGAGCCCAAAAATGGTCAAGGTGCTAATGAGCCCTGAGATATATTTAAAATATAATTTCTCACTATCTGTGTGAGAGATTTGGTTTAGAGCTATTCAAGAGCTGGGAAGCAGCCTACTGTAGTGTTTTGATCTTAGGTTCATGAGAATATCTGCACTGCATTACATAATGACTTTGTGACATGTTAGTCAATCGGGGACATTGTGACAAACTTGCAGTAAGTTCATATATATGAGATCAGTAGAGGACTGTATGTACTCTGGGAATAGATCCAAAATGATAATTACAGAAAAACATATAAGAAAAAAACATAACATAACATTATGTCACAAAATTAGGTTTGTCAATGCAAAACTGCTGTGACTGTCACAAAAATAGGTTCAGTTCATCAGGCTAGCAACATTGTGACGAACCTAAGGTCAAAATGCTACAGTATACAAGATATATCATATATAGCAGCATTCTGAAAAAATAAATAAAAATTTAAAATGAAACATGGCAGATTCAAACTCACGCATTCCACTTGGAGCATTCTAAGTTCACAATGAAGCTATATCATTAAGCTATTAGTGCTTGTATATCTGACATTGCTAATGTATATCATCACCTCTAGGTCATCTCTTCACAAATTTCACTAAGTCTCACAGGCATCTTGATCAGTGTAACATCTATCATACACAAAGCAGTTTTCCAGAAATTCAAGTTCTATATGATGCTATTTGCCTTCAGTATGCTCAGGGAAATAGAACTTGGTATATTTTGTGTAGGATACACATAGTGAATACTAGCAAGCTACCTTGACTTCCTTCATTAATGAAATTCTAGCTAGGATGTTCACACAAGCTTTTTCATAAGTATATCATAGGTCTGATGCTTAGAACTATGAACTAGCCCTGGATCGGACTGAATTTGAGCTGTAACCAATCTGTTGTGCAGGTCAGGAAAAAACCTTTGGTGAAGATCTGATCTATTAGCTTTACAGCATTATTTATTTATATACCATGTCTATATTCAACGTTGTATCTGCCTGGTTGCCAGGTGTTCTAATTGTCCTTGCTCAATCTTGCAGAAACACAGATGACAAGGATTTAGCCAGCAAAAACAGGACCCCACCATGAGGACAGAGAGGTCCCATGGATTCAGAATACAAACATATTCAAATACAAACTCAAATGTATTGTACAAATGCCAGGAGGGAAATATAAAAGGGTGGGTGTGCAAATAAATGATTACTATTGAGATAAGTAAATTGAATGAGAAACTTAAATATTAGAATGAACTGACAGTGTACCTAGCAAGACAAGTAAATTGAGTGAGAAAAGGCAAGGACTCAATTTCACCGAGTCTCACTAGAGATAGACTGCCATGAGCTCCACTAAAGGAGGTGGCAATAAGGATTCCATGATCGCCACAGGTGGCAAGGGGACAGGCCCAAAAGAATAAACATGGTGTAGCACTTGAGCTCATGTTAGGCTTGTATTCAGCTAATTTACACATCATGTCAGATGTCCATTGTACAAGAATCACTTCCCAATGTTATCCGACACTCATCCGCTCAATCTGATATTTATCTGCTAAACCCAGCACAAACCTGATGCAAACCCAATGCAAACACGATGAAATCCAATGTTAGGCTGCTTCAGACCCGATATTTTCCTACACATTTGTCCTCCCTATGTCCTGTCCTGTCATATCTATCCCCACTAGGTGCGCAGTTATCAGTTTTCATGTTGCTAACATTGTAGACAGCATTATTACATGTCCACAGTACCACATGTCTTATTACATAGAACATCAGACCCGAAAATTAGCACTACTACTTTCGCCTATAGCACTCTGAAATTCTACATAGACACTATATATTTTGCATGCCTCCTTCTTACTTACCTTTACCTTTCTATCTCCAAATAGGAGGAGGTCATCTGATGTTAGTAGTTCTTTACTGAATTCTGCAATATCATCCGTTCTTTATCTGAAACACTCTGAAAACACTGACAGTAACCCACCATTTGTAATGCTCGCAAATGGTAAATAAACCATGTGCAAGTTGGGATAGACCCATCAGCACATACCCAGAGGAAACAGTTGAAATGAAAAGCCAATCCTGAGAAGATAAGACAAGAAAGCAGAGTGTGGGTCTGCCAAATCTGAATGTTGAACCACAATGGTACTCCCTTCAAATTGAACATCTGCCTTGTGCGAGCAGAGCACAAAGGAATGATATGACTCAGCAATAACCACAGAAGTCTGCAGGGTGAGTTTATCCTGTGATTAAATTGTAGGATTGTCAGGCCAAAACAGGTAACAAAGAGGGAAAGAGTGTCAACTGTCAGATCCACAGAGAGATGATGTAGGTCACAAAACACCACATAAAAGTTCAGAGCTGATGAATAGGTTTGGTTTGTAGAATGGTGTAACACTCAGGTCAGCGCTGGGCACATATCCTGTCACAACCACATCTTACATTCCTTGATACTCTTCTGATCTTCTGAAGGTTCCACATGCTTGTCCAAGTTGTCTGAAGGTCATCTGTCCAATTCAGAGGCCTTTTTAGCTTTTCCAGTCCTCCATACCATGTCCTGTTCTTGTCTATTTGACTTTGCTGGTGCATTTTTCACTTAGTTATCTGTTGTTGATTATGTCTAGGGACACATACATTGAAAACCCTTGCTAATTACAGATATGCATATCGTGCGTTATTACATGGATATCTTCATAGTGGCTCACCTTGAGCCTTATTACATTTGGGATGTCTTATCTCACTACAGTTTTCGCCTATGCAGATTCTGGACTTTCACGCAGTAGGATATGATCTGGCTCACTAATACTCGCAACTCACTTCACTTCCCTTGCTACAAGTCATAGTTAGTAGAGTCACTTTCAGATCTTAGTCTTCTGCATAATTGATCTTTTGTTCTTTTGGAACAATTGTTTGGCCTGACCACTGCCATTTTTCTTATTAATTTCCTTAAGTCTTTCAACAGACTTCACTGGTTAATCTATGCAAGTTCTATACTTTGAAAAATCGCCATATTATACACCAGAAGCCTTGCTATTTCACTGGAAGCTCACTGGAAGCTTCGTGCAACCTCAGACCTTTGTTTCTTGACGTCAGACCTCGACCAGACCCATCAGACAACTTATTGGACACTTTGGACAATTCTTCGGAACTCTGAACATACCTGAGGTATCTTTTCCTACTCTCTCCTTCAATCTTAACAAGATATCCCTTGCATTTTTATATCAAAAGATAATCCTACAGACAGTCTCTTTGGGACGAACATCTCACTCACACTTTGAGTCTTAAGATAGCACCTTTTGTATAGCCCACCAGAAATCAACTCTTTACAATGGTCTAGAGCAAGGCCAAGATTAATAGAATGCTCATGAATGAGATATTCCATTGTCCAGGCAATACAAGGGGGTTGCCTGGTATTAGTCACAGGGATCATTTCCTCAGCACCCCCAGCACATTCCAAGGGGGTTAAAAAGGAAACACATGCAGACTAGGAGAAATGCATTGAGCTTCACCAGCCCACCAATATGAAAGATGATCAATAACAAGATTAACCTCACCAGAGACATGAAAGACCCTGAAATCAATGTCAAAGATGAGAACAACTTTAACAACATCTATGAGAAGCTGATGATAGCCCAGCGAAGCCAATAAAGTGTTATACATATAGACACTGTTTAGACTGTCAGAGAAGACAGCCAACCTCTGTGTTGGACCTAGCTAAGTTACTGCATCAAGGACAGCAGAGCAAATACATAGAGCTTTGTGAAAGAAGATGTCATCCACGGACAAAGAAGAGGGAAGACATGATTGAAAACTAATGTTGAGAGCTGGATACCAAAAATCCAATCCAGTTCCTGATGTGTCACAATATACTTGAAGAATGTCGGAAGGAAGTGGGGAGAGATTCCAGGATACGGACTGAAGTAAGAAAACCCCTTGGGAACAGTCTAGGTGAAATGCAGCCCATTGGAGTTCATCAACAACTCTATGATTAATCCACAACATACCCTTTGCATTAGTTTTCCCTCGTGTCTTGTCCTAAATGGCCAAGAGCCCTGGATAAAGCAAAGGACACACATTCAGTGCCTAATTATGGGTTCTTGTGATGTGCTCAAAATCTCATAGTGGTTATGCCTTGCAAACTCCCACAATTCACAAACTAAAGTGTTCTTCAACTCATTCTTGAGTGAAATCTTCATCAAATTTGGATCAATATCAAAGCCAATAACAGCTAAGGGTGACCCAAAAATCTGCTTCCATTCTTTGTGTGGAACACCTAGTTCATCCCACAGAAGAAGGAGAGCAACCATACCAGATGGAAGCATCTTTTGATACTTGATGTAATATGCTATCTTTCCCACTTTAGTGAAGGCAAAAGAGTCATCGACATAAATGAATGCTTGAATGAGTTGAATGAAAACAGTGATCCACATGACAAGTGACATGAAAGCATGGAAGATATGTTGTGATGCATGACCACCAAAGACATTAGCCCTGTCCACTCGTTGTTCTCCTTCAAATGAGACAACCTGTTTAATTTGCCACAGCGGGTGCATTGGCATATGTTGGTAGGCCTCTGAGACATCAGCTTTCCAAATTTGCAGCTCATCATCAGGATGACAACAACAATGAATGCACAGTGCATCTCCAAGGTCTTGAACATTATCAAGAGTGACTCCTGAGATATCCTCTTTTGTGATCATAGAATTCAAAGAAAAGTTACCTGCACTGTGATTAGTAATGAGACAGAACTTCCTTTGGGACTACATGAATAGGCATGCTGTACATCCTAGGCAAAGTTCAGAGCCGAAGTTATGTGAATACCTGCTGACAGACTCTTCTTTCAAGATTTGATCCTGAAGAAACTATTGTTCTTGTTCAGTAGATGGGGAAGGAGAAGGAATATCCAATGTTGTCAGATAAGATCTGTAATTGGTGTTGGCCCAGGGCCAGAAACATTCTCACAATCTTTGACACACTGAGTGAACAAAGGGAGGATTGGGATGTTCTGCAAGAGTGAAAAGGGTCTCGAAATGATCAACATTGATAGGAGTAGAGACATTGAAAAGTTTAGGGTGTTCAGCAATGGTTTTAAGTGCAGTAGTATTCTCAAACTCTGCTGCTGGAGGACATGGTAAGGGCTCTGTAGTTTCTGTCTATTGTACTGTCCCACTGACAGAACTCCATTATCTCCCCAAACCATCCTTCTTCAAAATTGCTGACCACAAGCAATGGTTTCATTTAACCCCTTTTGCCATAGAACAGTCACCTCATTTATGGGGACCTCAACACTTGCTACAGATGTGGAATTGTGGACAGTCAGTGGTTGATTTCTCACATGCCCCTCAGTTCCAATTATGGCATGGCTCTCTCTGTGAGGAAGAATCTGTATGTGCCAATTTTTGTCCCGCATTCAATGACTTTCCTGAACCCTTGTCTGATGAACTTGGTAGTCCAGAGGGGCACTGGAGTTCAGTAAAGACAACCATTCCAAGGGAAGACAAGTGAGAGGTTTCAAGCTGCTTAAACTCATGGAAGTCATTGAAATGAAGGTATTTTTTTCCTTTAACTTTGAGCTGACATGCTTGATCAAAGTTGATGATGTAGGAATGGACACTATAGTGGATGTCAGTGAAGATTCCAGTCAAATATCTATTATAGTCACGGAGCTCCAACTCTTTCCATGGCATAATGAACGATAAGGCATCAATCCAGAGTTCTGAAGCAATACTCCAGTCTCCATATGAATGGACTCAATGTGTGGTGGTTGGTTGGGAGAGAATGATCTCAAATCCTTTTCCAAGGTCCTGAGTTTGCTTCAGATTGATGGCTGTGGAATAATGCCTTGACAATATTTTTTGAGGTGTGGGGCACAACCTTTGAGAAACAAGGTCCACTGAGAGAATAGGAAACTAGGACATCCTGGGGTGCTAATGACCTGGCTTCAATAGTATTTAGTATCTTCAGCCCATTCCTCATAGCAGTCAAGGGTGAGTTGATCAGCTTTTCTTTTTGAGATGAACTGATGTAGAGACTAATATCTCTGTGGGCTTGCAGGGATCTAAATTCCCAATGTCTCTATCACTTCCTAATATAGCACAACTCATATCACACCCAGCGCACTTAAGTGCTCCATTGCCGCTCGTGTGCACTAGTGTTTAGGTCGTATATTGGTTGCGTGTTGGCGCATGCATCCTCAGTTCCATTGCTTGTCCTCTGTCCCTCCATTCCATGTTCATTCGGTTCATTGGTGTGTATTCTGATTCTATTTCCATTTATTCTGACATATCTCTGGCGCTTATGGACATATTCCGTATATTTTCCATTATGGACCCTTACATTACATATTATCTTGTATCCACTTTGCTTCTTGGTTCACTTTAGTGCTTGACAGTGCCTAACATTACTTAGTATATACATATATGCGTATCTAAAACTGTATAATGATCATCTTTCTGCCTGCACATTGTTGGATTTTAAGTCTAAGTTCTTCTTCATATCAAACCAACTCTAAGTATCTAAGTACAATATGAGCGCCACCGCCGTACACTACTAGAAACTCTGCCAATTAGTTTTCTGACTCATTAAGAGTTGCTGCACTCCACCACCCGCAAGCGTGCACCACTTCCGCTTAGCGCACGCTCCCGTTATAAGTTGCATGTTGCCGCTCATCATCAGCTGTCATCGCTCATCGTTGTGCGCCTTACCAGGCTTGACCAAGTGCCCGGCCCAGTGTTTCCCTCCATTCATACACTTAGAGGAACCTTCTCAGTAGCAATCCCCTTGGGCCGATGTATATCTTGCTCATCAAGGATTATTTGAGTATATCTCATACCACTCAATTACCCAACTTTCCATTTCCTCTTCTACACCGATACTCTTTTGGCTGGAGCCACAGATAAAATTGGAGTCACTCTGGAGTGAGCTTTTGTCGCTTTCCTCGCAAGACATAATCTCTGTCATCTCCTGAAGACTTGTTTTCTGCCTCTTCGGAAATATTCCATTGATACAATCTTTCACAAAATCTTTTCTCTTTCTCGACAAGTTCATTACCACTGTTCTGAGACAAACCTGTTCCGGACTCAGGACTAGGCTCATCTGCAGATGCTCGCTCTGAAGCAGATTGACCATGGTCATGAGCATGATTAAGGAGGTTGAGAAAGTGCAAGAATCCAGGTTGGAAGTCGAGTTGAGATAATTTCACTGAGTCTCGCTAGATATAGACTGCCATGAGCTCCACTAAAGGAGGTGGCAATGAGGATTGCATGATTGCCACAAGTGCTGCCGTGGTTCAGTTCAGTCTAATTCAGGGGGTCCTGAGAACCAAGAACCGAACCATGGTCTAGTTCTACAAAATCTCCAAACCCAGAACTGGACCATTGAGAACTGTTCTCTATGGACCAGTTTGGTTTTTTTCCAGTCTGAACTCGAACCAAACCAAAAAAATTTCAGTAGGGTGCTCAAAAAAAATTGATGAATTACTAGTCTACACATTGAGTAACTAGTTTAATAAAATAGCTGCATACTGCTGGCTCAACAACTGCCAAGAAACCAACCAGGTGCAAGTGCAAACAAGAATCGGCTGGATGCAACCATTCTTGGCCTTGCTGAGCTCATGAAGTTGAGGTAGTTCTCGGAGGTAGTGATGTTCTGGCCCGATTGCTGGCCATAGCTAAGGGTGTTGAAACAAAGGCAGGCATTCAAGGGTGGCAGTTGGCTTGGTTCAGTGGATGGGCCATGCACAACATTCATCATTACTGTCTGTATGAATGGTTCCAACCATCAGAGAGAAGTAGTGGTAGGAGGTAGATATGAAAAACTTACTGTCAAACAATGGTTTGACATATTCAATGTTTTGCATTCTTCATTTTTCATAGTGGTCGACAATGATTGGTTTGATGAAGAACATATCAGTCCTCCATCCAGAGTTGAGTCTACATGCGCAACATACCAAACATCCATTAGTAGTTATCACCTGGTCCTTTGCGAGCATATGAATGAAAGAGCATACATCAGGAAATCACCAGGTTCCTTTTTGTTCCTTAAACTACTTAAAAATAGCACTAAGGTAGTCAAGGCAGTCAAGGAATATAAGGCACATTTTCAAACTTTTAACTAATGACCTAAGCTAAATCTAAGGCAGTCAAGGCAGCGAAGATGCAACAATGAGATTAAGGCTACTACTCAGTACACGAAAATTTTATAGTTTATTTACGTTTATTGTTGTTCCGATTACTCGAAAATAAGCATGCATCCATCAACAATATCAATTGCTATACTTCAATGAAAAAAACACTAAGTTTTTATTTACTACTACTCTAGTGATAGTCAATCATTTATTGACGAGATGCTAGTATGCTATATGACTCCAAAATCTGCTTGTCGCAGGCAAGGAAGGAGGCACCAGTGGGACGACTTGATGGCTTGCATAGAGGCTGCGATCATGGCTGAGGTGACTGCAGAGGTAGCGGAGGCAAGAGTAGGAGGGACAGACGTGAAGCTGGGGCTTTGGAAGAGGGTGAAGGGGTGGCTGTCACACAGGAAACGAGACAGAGCATGTCGTGTGTAGGGTGAGCATTATGTCTTGTAATTTTAAGTAAAACTTACCTTGATGGTTCTATGGTGGGTAGTAATTGACAGCAGGGAGGCGAGTGCCGATCTACAGCGCAATGGGAAGGGTGTTATGTCGTTGGATACTGGTGTGGATGGTGGGCAGTAGTTGGGTGGAGGGAAGGCGACTGTGGAGGGACAGATAATGAGGATTGAGGCTGTCTGATGAATTCTCGTAGAAGACGGTAGTACTGGCACTGGCTTGTGTTTTGGTATACCTGGAGACGATGAAGCTGAGACAATGTATGCAGTGCAGTCTTCTATGCCTGGGAGTGTTGGGGTGATGCTGTTGATGCTAGAGACGTCGATGTTGAATAACTTGGTGATGGTGTATCTGGCTGGAAGATTTGCATGGCATTCTGAATAATGCGATGAAGGTTGACAGGCAGATAATGAGGATTAAGGCCGTCAACCTGATGAAATATGAATTCTCATAGAAGACGGTGGTACTGGCACTAGCTTGTGTTTTGGTATACCTGGAGATAATGAAGCTGAGACAATGCATGCAGTACAGTCCTCCATGCCCAGGAGTATTGGGATGATGTCATTGACACTAGAGATATCAATGTTGAATAACTTGGTGATGGCATATCTGGCTGGAAGATTTGTGTGGCATTCTGAATAATGAGGATTAAGGCCGTCTGTCTGGGCCACCTTTGCTGTACAGATAGAGCTCAGGCAGATCTTTCCTAAGAAACATGTGAGTTGGATATACACTGAAATCTAAGCAGACAATTACACATCTTAAATCATGCTATCTCAAAAGAATGATGATCTGCATATTTATTGACATAGTATGAGTTGAACATGTTGTATGAGTCGTGCAGACTGATGATAGGAATAAAGTCCAGTCCATATACTGGAATGTGATGGGTGGCATGAAAAATGCAGTCGACATGAATAATAGAGACATCTGGAGTGTCGTCATTGTTTGTTGTGGGAGTGACAACATACATGCCTGTGTCAGGATCACGTCCCTCAAGTACATGAGAATACCAATGAACAACAGTGCAGGGATAATGCGATGTCCAATTGCTGAAAGAGAAAAAGCACAAGACCCATGCAACTGCAAGTCCACCCATAGGAGAGTCTAAGTTGGCACCCATGTTAATGAATATGCAGTCGTTCCTGCAAGGGCCACCACACCATGATGGTGTTGCCCGGATGTGCTCCCAGTGCATACCTCCAGTACCACTCAGATCGCTGGGTGCATAGAATGATGCTGCAGCAGAGTTAAAGATGGTCAACTTCCCTAAGAATAATTGAGCTGTTGCAGGATCATACTCAGGAGGGTTGGGGTCATCTGAATGTTGCTGGTCATGGATGAATTCTTGGATCATGAGAGGGAAGCATGGAAGGTTAAGATCAAAGCTGAGTGTACAAACATTTCGTACACAATGTAAGCATTATCAGAAAGGGTCAACAGGTGAATAAATTGACTCACTGTGGTGTCACTGCAAGTTCGATGTGGGATTCTATTACAGTTGGTCCATCAAGAATGTCACCAGCGTCTACCTCAACAGATTGATTCTGAGGTTCATGGAACTGGAGGTGCCCAGGGAGATGCTCAAGTGCCATATCCACGTCATCATCTGACTCACTGTCCTCGTGATCATTCAAACCTGTTTATGGATGTGAGAAGTGTTAAACTGTCAGTTCAAGAGATCACATATGCCTTTGGACTTCTCGCAAAGCCTCAGATAAGCAAGAGCCATGAAGCATGTCATGTGCTTCAAAATCTGTGAGTGCAGCTGCGAGTTTGTCTAAATGCTGGTTGGTCAGCAACATTTGACCAAGTGCCTTGAACCTGCTAGAGCGGTGCCAGGGTTCTTTCAGGGCCTTTATGTGCTTAGATTCAGTGATGGAAGAACAAAGGCCATTGGGTGCCCCAAGAAGTGGAGTATGTAGTGACACAGGGAGTGTTGGCATGGTAGGGAGAATGTCACGACAGTACCAGTTGATTTGAAGATCTCTCAGTATTTGTGGAAGCAGTCAAGGGCATCTTGGATTTGGACAAGGTCAGTTTTGGTGAGAGCCTCATGCTGTACGAGATAACAGAAATTGAGGAATGCACCAAATGTGTGCACCTTCATCAAGGCCTTGGAGTCATCACCAGTCCACTGCTGGAATCCATGCCTGTCAGGAAAGCACCATAACCCTGTGAATGGGGCTACTGCTGCTATCCTGCTTTTTATCAGTAGTCATTAGCAAAAATACGATAACTTACATACCTGCGGTCAATGTCATCCATAATTTTGGCTGCATGGCGAGCACCATGCGTGATATTTAGATAGTTTTCTACCCAGTCAACCAAGTGGTCCTTGAATGTTCCCTTAATTATCTAGTGTAATAGATCTGGTGAGAGGAGCTTGTGGATGTCTGCTCGAGGATAATCATTAGTGAATGGCTAGTGGTGTGAAGAGTGAGATTGAGCCCTGAGTTTGAGGAAACAACCTATGACAAGATCACCAATGGTACCATACTCTTGCCAAACCTGTCTATATGTTAGCTGTTCAATGAGTAGCTCAGTGTGCGCTTTGCATTGATGCAGACATGGTTGACCACCATCAAGGTCCTTGCTGTTTGCCAGACACCTATGAAAAAAATGAGTCATTAAGAAACCAAAGAAAAGATAATCATACCGTGGACACCAGTTCTGCAGGATGCCAGAGAGCAACACCTGCTCTGGATAATCAGCTATATAGGGACCTAAGCCATATATTGTTCGTCGAAAGTGACCATCAGGGAAGCATGTGATGTTGGGGGTTTCCATGAATGGTTTCACAGACTCGAATATTTTGGCGAGTGACTGCTGGAAGAGTTGACGTCGAAAGTTCCTGTAGTTAGTATCATTGTTGTATTCCTTTGTAGCTAAACAAACAAAATGAGTATATAATTCAGGACAAATAATAGGTGTGGGTACCTACATTTTGGTATTGCAAGGAACCCAATGAGAACAATGCCTCTGTGATGTGCACATTGTACACTATTGTGGATGTTGCCAATGGAAATATATAGCAGGTGGTATTCTGTTTGGCCTGTAGCAACAGATACAACTGTCTTGTCACTGCCAATAATCAATGGCACAAACATCAAACCATAAGTCTCTTGGTTTTCAGCAATGAGATCCTTAAAATGATTGTCAGTATGCTCTGAACATGAATATTTGAAACCATACTACCTGGTTCCATGCCCAGTCACCTGACATAAAGTTTTTCCAGTATCATTTGTTGTCACTGGTGTAATCACAGGTACGGTGAATATTTGATGCCCCGTTGAAGGCAGGGTTTGCGAGCATGTCACACACAATTTGCAGTGGATCTCTATACCATACATCATACTGTATGTTCATCCATGGTGGCACATTTTGTTCCGGTTTGATTCCATTGAAACACATCGAGAACATCTTCCAAGGGACATCCCCAAGTGGTGTCGCATCAATGGTAGCGTATATGTTCTTGTGGTTAGCAAAAGGGGGAGCATCATTATGTTTTATCAGAGTCACAGCCCATAAGTCGAGTAGAGTGTCGATTTGTTTGGTGGACATCTGGTTGCATGTAAATAGAAACTCTGCAGTCTCGAATTCGACCCTATCATTATAGGGCATCCAGTCAGTTGATGGGGTATCTGTACGAGGCAGTGGGGGTGCATCCTGGTCAATAAATGTACCATTAACATCACATTTGCATCCTAAGTCACAAAAAAAAAATATGAGCGACATGGTATGAAAGACTCCTCGAAAGCTTACTTACCAGTCATATGTGGATGGAAAGTCTGAAACAAACGCCCCATGTCCACCCAAGTGCCTTCCTCAGGTACAAACCCTGTGTCATCCTGCTCGTCGATACCCTGATTTTCCGCTTGAGTGGGAGAATGTTGCCTTGGAGGAATAAAGCCAGGACCTGCAGGCAGAGCCATTCGATTGAGTTCTTCCTGAGTTTGTGGGGGTAATGGATGCTTGGCGTGTATGTGCTGAGTGAGACCTGACTTGTTTCGGAAAACGCGCTTAAAGTTTGGAAATTGACAAACAAGCCTGTTGATCTTTGGGGCCATATCGACTGACGGACTTGAATGGGCTGGGCACCAGAAAATGGTGCATTAAGAGGTAATTTCAACTACTGCTAAGTGTGTGAATTGTAAATTATGACACGCTCAATTGAATAGAATGGAAAAAAAAACTCACTTCATCACCTCCAAGCTTTCTACCAGCAGTCACATTCTTTCTACCTCAACAGCCTATAATGCCCCTTGCATTTCTGTAACATGTCTCAACCTGCGACATGCCCTGGCAATGCTAATAAGCATCCCGGACAAGTAGTCCTTGATGCAAACCGAGTATTGCGCCCAAAGGGAGTAGTTGCAGCTGAAAGAAACAAGAAGGCAGCAGAGAAATTGTCCAAGGCTGCTGCCTTGAAGGATGCTCAAAAGCAGATTGCAGCAAAGGAGGATGAGATGGCTGTTGAGCAACTGATTCAGTGTGCCAGCCCCAGGCGACCTGTGTGACCAAAGCCAAAGCCACACCCAGTGGTGAAGAAACCAGTGTCGACCCTCGAGAACATAGCAGAGTCCATCACCTCTACTGGGCGTAAAATATGTAAGCATAACCTTTACAATATCCATGACAGGGAGCACTTACTGTTTGGTACAGCCATTGGGGCCAAGAATTCAGCAACCCAATACACCGATATCCAGAAGAAGAAGCATCCAGGTCTAAAGCTTGCCTTCAAGGATGGCGTCAACACCAGTCGAAAGGTGTCGAACAGTGGTGTAATAGCCGTGAGCGTGACACATGTTGGAAACACTGATGATGGGAAAATTTCCAAGTCAATGTAAGTTCCTAATTTGAACTATGATGTTGCTTCTATCAGAACTCACTCTTCATTATCTTGATTTGCTCTACTCATTTGAATGTAGGTAGGTCTGAGTCCCTCAGTAGTATACCTTCAGAGAGAATGACAGATGACCAGGGCAACCTTGAGGTAAGTCACCTACTATTGGGTCTTCTGAGAATCACTTACTACAATTCCGGCATTCCATAGGTCTGTGAAACGATGAGTCGTAGTTGGCTCACAACTTCCATAGGGTAGAGTTGACAGATGGATGCACAAGAATGCTGACATATTTTTGCAGATGTCGGTCAGTGTTGTGGAGACAGCCAATTCAAACAAGCCCATCAAAACTGAAGCTGGACAATTGCCATGGGCTCACAACATCAAGAAAGAAAAACTGAAGAATGCGCACTTGCCCATTGGTGCACAGAACTCAGAATGGCGCTCAAAATTCATTCCAACGGTCATGTATTGGATTGGAAACAGCAACTTTTCGTGGACTATCCCTGACAACACACTCTCAAACCTTCTCCACAATATCTACTACTCAGTGTACAAGCAACTGGGAGACTTTGAGGTTGATGGCAGTAATGGCACCTTCAATGTGGTGAGTGAATTTCTGTTCTGTGTTAGTAGTTGACCTGACTATATGTGCAGGTCTGTCAAAGGATCTCCAAGTGGCGCAGAAATTTCGGCTCGACTGCTATCACCATATTGATGGTGTTTTTTGCCTCGACCAATGAATATGAGACACCGGAGACACAGAAGGCTTATTCAGAATATCAAATTGAAGACTCATGTTTTGTTTATGAAGACCCAGATAGCGAAGATTCACCTGGAGCTTTCTTATCCGAGTTCATCTTGCATATATTTGCTGCACACCTTAATGCCATCCAAGGACACCAGTTAATAGACACGCTCAATGTTGGCTTACCTGGATACCAGACAGCACTGGCACTGACTACTGCCACTGTGAGTTTACTACCCCCTTTGTAAACTTTACTGACTAGTGATTTTCAGTCCAAATGTGCACTTATTTTAGTTCATGACAACCTCATCATAGAGGACACTTCAGACCATGGGAAACACAAGATTGTGTTAACGCTCAATCAAGCAACCAACAAAATGAGCAATACCGGTACCACTTTTTCTGCAGGCAATTGGGAGACTGACATGCTTGCTTACATGGAGTGGATTGAAGAGCTGCCCTTCAACCGCATGAAGGAGATCATGGAGCGATCTCAACCATACATGAAGTGTCCATGCCACAAGAGTCAAGACAAGGACACTGTTATCAACAGTGAAAGCCATATCCCTGTGAATCCATGAAAGCGCATTCACATCTGTAATTTTTTCTTCTTTATCTCAATTTTCTCGCTCTGACACTATATTTTTGACAGGATTCAATTGGCTACTAGTAGTAGTACATGTGCACTTGCTATTCCCCCCCTCAAATCATTATTACCAGTTCCTGCTCCTGCTATCATCATCACTTGTTTTGTCACTTGTATTCAGATGCATTTTCATTGTTGGACATTTTCATAGGCCACCTTGAACTCTTGGATTTGCCTTAGCGGCCTTGAACTCATAGATTCTCCTTAGCATACTTATTCTATGTGTCGCAATAACAGTATTTTTGATCTCCTTATCTTCCTTAGTTTGAGGAGAAGTGCCTTAGTTTAAGGAAATAGATCTCCTTATTCTCCTTTTTTTAAACTTGTCTTATTGTGTGAATTAAGGAGAATAAAGAGCAAATAAGGAACTCAGTGATTTCCTGATGCTAGTCTAACTATGAGACTCAGCATGTGTAACTATGAGCTGTAATGAATACATACCTCAGTGAGAGTGAAACAACCTGAAACAATGAATTGCAATCACAAGCTGCCCAGCCATGACCGACCAGGAGCAAGGCCAATGCTTGCCTGTCAAGTGTGATAGCCTAATCCAAGTCTTCACCATTGCCTCAGTGCTTAAAGCGGGAGGAGAGTATATTTGCGAGGTTAGTTAATGATGAGGACTGATTTGTGTGATTGACTGGTTGCAAGGCCAGTGCTTCCATCAGGAAATCAACTCAAAATTAATATAACCAGTTAGACCTGACAAATAAAACCCATTATGATACATCTAGATTTAGATTTACATATTATTATCTTTACACAACATGTGTATGAAGAAATACATGACAATGTCAAGGACATATCAATTTGCTATGCATCTTATAAGTATGCAACAAATATATGAAGGAATATATACCTATGTCAGGGACATGTCATCTTGATATACATCTTACAAATATGCAACAAATATGTGAAGGAATATATACCTATGTCAATGACAGGCCATTTTGATATGCATATTATAAGTATGCAACAAATATATGAAGGAATATATACCTATGTCAGGGACATGTCATCTTGATATACATCTTACAAATATGCAACAAATATGTGAAGGAATATATACCTATGTCAATGACAGGCCATTTTGATATGCATCTTATAAGTATGCAACAAATATATGAAGGAATATTACCTATGTCAGGGACATGTCATCTTGATATACATCTTACAAATATGCAACAAATATGTGAAGGAATATATACCTATGTCAATGACAGGCCATTTTGATATGCATCTTACAAATATGCAACAAATATATGAAGGAATATATACCTATGTCAGGGACATGTCATCTTGATATAAGTCCTACGGGTATGTAACAAGCATACGGAAGAATATATGGCTATGTCAATGACATGCCATTTTGATATACATATTACAGATATGCAACAAATATATGAAGGAATATATACCTATGTCAGGGACATGTCATCTTGATATATGTCCTACGGGTATGTAACAAGCATACGGAAGAATATATGGCTATGTCAATGACATGCCATTTTGATATACATATTACAGATATGCAACAAATATATGAAGGAATATATACCTATGTCAGGGACATGTCATCTTGATATAAGTCTTACAAGTATGTAACAAGTATATGGAAGAATATATGACTGTGCTAGAGACATGCCATTTTGATATGCATCTTATAAATATGCAACAAATATATGAAGTAGTATGACTATGTCAGAGACATATCATTTTGATATGACCTTCAATACACATTATTTGGCTGGCTAATGATCAAACTCATAATGTGTTGTGACTCCCATTTTATGTTACTAGTAAGTACCTGCAAAAATGACAATTGTGACAATAACTTGACAATGTATTATAACCTGATGTTCTGAATTATATTATAAATGGCCAGACGACTCCATCTTCAATTTATCTCCTCCCACCCTCGTTCGACATGCTTTTGATGAGCCTGGAGATCTGACTGACAACTGACCAATCAGGCTCATATTTCTTGTCATCATCATGGGTGGAATGTGACAAGAGCCTCCAGGCATGCTTCTCCAATGTATTATCAGGGACGACTCGGACTCCGACACTTGCAAAACATTAATAATTGGTCTATAGAAATTCTAAGGGCACAATAACATCTGAAGACAAAAAAATCTATACCCAGTGTGACGCACGCTCGCAAATACCCCTTCATCTCCTCCCCCCGAGTCCAGGTGTCTCCGAGTCCCCAAAAACAATATATCTCTACTACTACCTCCTCAGGTATCATCACACGCCAAATTGGGAGCGTTCACTTGCTGCCATGTTCGATGGCAGTAGTGAATACAGCTTTGGGAGGCTCCGTGGGCTCGACATCGACTGTCAACTAGCATCACAGGTCACTTCTCGTGTGATGATGAAGTCATCCACTCTGCCAAGTGAGCCATTGACCGGCCTGCCTCACAAAAGGTTCTTTGGAGCTATGGTCAGGCCCAGCCGACATAGTTATTTCGGGATACTCACTCTATGAAACTGGACTCTACGGCGGTGTAGGTCAACTTGATAAGCTATTTAAGCTGTCAGAAAGTAAAGAGAATACAAGGGCCAGAATAACAACTACTTACCTGTATATCTCCAAAAGGGTGATCGCTTTCCCGAACAATCTGAGCAATCGCTTCTTATCCAATAAGTCAGTCAGATGAAGATGTAGTACATGTATGAAATCATACAAGCTTGTCAAATAAACAGCTGTCCAGCATCGAAACTGCCGGATGTTAGCACAGTTGTCTACTGAACGCTCGGTAGGTCAAACGTACTTTCATCGATTACAAGGACACGAGTGGTGTTCCATCGTGCGATCGCACCTGAGCTTAGAACATCCACCAACTGCTTGACAGTGGCCCCACCCGCCACGCGCTCGAATTATTGCCCATAAGAGAACAGATTTAGCGGTGCCTGGATAAAATTATCAATGACTCCGACTCAAAGTCGGATGTGGCAGGTACTAAGTCAGCTTAAATTACGCACCCGCAGATCCGGTAAAGGACACATTTTCGCCACGCCCGATCCTCTGGAGCACATTTTTTTGCTCCTCTGAAAGACTCGACGATACTTTCCGACGAAGGTCCAGGTGTCATGGCAGGCATATGTGTCTTGATGGGAGTCCGACTGTGTCCTGAGTCAAAGGTCAGTAGTTGCCTCCGGCTTGATTGGATCCTGCCACTCTTGGCTCAAAGGTCGACGACACGCCGACTACTAGTAAGAGACATAGCTTCCATACTCGGAGCTGGGAGTAAAAGGACTTTTAAGACTTCAAGTTAGCAGCATCGCCATCATAGTCGTTGAATCACTCACTTGGTCCACTTAACTCGTGGTGAGCCACTCTCAGCGAGCCTTAGTGTGAGACCGGAAGCTCTTTTGAACGGCATCAGGCCAACGTGAAACCTGTTGTTACACTATACAAGCCTAGAGAGTGCATTGAGTACGAAACGCACCCAAAAATACCACAGAGACTTACACATGAGGATCATTCCTTCCAACCAATTGACTTGCCGTCCTGCACGACGTAATTGACAGTAAGGACTAATTTTACCTTTCAATTAGCACGTTCTCCAGCATCAATTCATTCACGCACCGGAAAGAAACAGGACAATGGACTCCAGCGGGTCAAAGAGAAGTGTCAATGGCTTGTTCATAATTCAACCAAGCGTCACGATGAATCTGAAACCATCTGAGTAAATACTATGTAAAAACGGACAAAGGCAAAACGCATGGAATCACAAAGAGCGCAATTTGCTGGAAACGGTTAGTCACCATAGAAGCCATATCTGTAGGGGTGAACTCACAATACTCAAACCCACAGCAACGCCCAAGCTCAAAGTCAGTTTATCCTTGACGGATACCATAACGGCAGTAACGTGCTCCGCTGCATTGCCGACGATCCGGAGCAAAATAATACTAACAAACTCCTTGTTGATCAACCCGGAGGAAGTCGTGCTATCAATTGAGTCGACGAGGAACCCTGCAGTAACAGCAACCAACTAGTAAAGCGAAAGAATTGAAAACTTTGTGTGACTGTCACGGTAAGCACGTACCACAGTCACGACAACCAAAAGCCAAATGCACACAGCAAGGTTCATCAATGGTTGCTCGAGAGCCTCAGTCTCCAATGATGCTATGGAATTTGTCCCAAGTTCCACATCCGGGTCGGCATCTGCAGGGCGGGACAATGTTGTGGCTGCCTCTCTGTCATGCGTCGAACTTGGGGAACGTACTGTTTCGCCGTCCGTGATATTCCTACGTGTCCTGTGCAACCGGAATGGATTGTGGCCTGCGTATGCCTTGGTTTGTTGCATATCTCCGCTGTCATCATCGTAGAGGCCTTTGTGCGAAAATAACTGGAAAACCAGATATGAGGCGTAGACTGGATGGTTAGAATGAGTTTAGTCAACTGCTAAAAAAATCATTTTGTTGACCTACTGAAAAGGAAAATGATTGCAACCTATACGAAGAACGTAAGAAAAACATTATAAACAAATAATCCACGTACGCCATGGCTAGTTTTCAATATGTTGTAATCGGTCGACAATTCGTCATATTCTGGTCGACCCTGAAGAGCCACATGAAAAGCCCCAGGTAACAGAACAGCAATCACACTGATGGTCAGTAATGTCGAATTAAGTTGCACAGCACCTAAGCCATAGATGCAAGCATCAATAATCTGTATCAACTTGAAACAAGCAACTGTGTACTTTGACCAAATCCCTGTTCCAAGAAGCGGAGACCACCGGCAAAGAAACACATGCCCAGTACCAGCACTACAGTACACATCAATTGATTTCATCACAGTAAGTCTAAACACTTACATAGATTGCTCAGGATAGAACCCACCACTATAGAAAATAACACATGTCAGGTCAAGGGAAGCTGCAACAGAGTAAAGCTGCGGGACACATACAGGACGACTGAACGATTGTAAGCTGACACTTCGCGAGTGCGATGATCTAAAATGGGTCGATTGATCATTGCACAAGCTGCCGGTGGCTAGCACGACGTACTGATATGATGAGTTCGACGCTGTGCATGAAATGAAACAAGGTAAGAAAGTGATCAACCGAGAAAAAAACTTACTGACGCATTTCCCTATACACCGTCAAATTTCAGCGAGATAAAAGATCGAAGCATGAGTCACTAACCAATGTGGCGTTGAGAAGTCCAGCTAGAGTTTGACCGACTCATAGTGACAGTTCGTCGGTCGCGAAGGCGAGAAGCTGCGAGTACATCAAACCTGAACAATAGCGAAAATGAATCTATGTTACCTTGGCTAGCGGTATGATAGCCAGAAATATAACTGGAGCGATGTGTAAGGTAGCCTGTTGCAGTGAAGGTCAAATCGTGTACTTACAAACAAATATTAGAGTGTCATGATGGGGAAGAGCAAAGCTTATAGCCCACTTTCGGACACCATGCGTTAGATGGTCCAAGCTAAGACAGAAAGAAACATACAGATATCGGGATAAAAACCAACAAGACATTTAACCCTAGAAGACAATATCAACTCAGTGCATTGGTTGCAAGTAAATCATTTTACATGATGCAAAAACAATTGCTTGAATGCTTCTCCACACGGTGGGGGCCTTGGCTGTCCGTTTTTCTGGTTGCACCATTAAGGTTGCAGCTCTTCTGAACTTGGCCAGCCAATTGAGGGACTTCTTTTGATGTTTGCTGCCTGAAGTACTTATGTGTGGTCGATTGGCAGATGCGGATGATCTCTGGGTAAGCGGGAACGTTTCCTCTATAGCATTGGGCGCACAGCTGCTTTTTGAATTGATTTCCTGATGACGATGGTCTTCTTGTCTGCGTACTGAGAGTACGCGAAAGACTTCGAGTTTCGGTTGGACACCTGGGCGGAGGCTGGTTCGCGTGCGTGCGGATGCGTTGGAATTGAGTGATGTCGCTACTTGTACAGTTAGCGTTCAAATTGGAAATTGGGTGAATACGCACGTGCCCATCAGCACGACTCATGATCTATCAGTATCGTGACATAGGCGGGTGTTAAAGACAATGGGCGGGTGGTCATTGCTGCTTGACAGTTGTATTGAGCGCTCCAATCTCTTACCACTACCATTTGTGAAATATCTACTTTGTTTCGCTGTTCTTCCTAATCCGTCTCTAAAAACAATAACTTGAGCTATGGGCCAACAAAAAGCAGTGAGTAACTTACGCGTGTCACAACGATATCTACTAATTCATGTTAGGACTGTTGTCGGTACCCAACGAAGGGGGAGGTGGAGGAAGTAATAAGATGTCGAACGGTTACAATCAGGCTGAGGCGGCGGGTAGTAGGGAACAAACAGTACGTACCTCCGCATTCTGCGTCAGCTCGTGTTGACGTTCGCGATCCAAGGGAGAGCAATGCTGACGGCGGGGAGACGTTGGGTGAGGTACCTAAAGGAAGGGTGAGGAAGGTGACGAATACTATGTCTAATGGGAAGCCCAAATATGCGCCATTTACGAAAAGCTTCGATCTCACTATCCTCGTTGATTGAGGACCATTGTCGGAGAAGCTCGATAACCTCTTGACTATATCACAATATGTTGCATCCATTCAACGAATGCTTGATATTTTTTCCAAAAAAGTTATACTCAATCCTACAACATTGTAACAGCATGTAGCATCAGATCACGCCTCCGATCCTAGGTGAAGACTTAAGAACAGATCAGGTTGCGAATATAGTTAAAAAAAATGTTGATCAGTCTAACTGAGTGTCACCGCCTAGATCCCTGCAAAAGTATTAATGTGAATAATCGAAAGGAAATCTATAGCAAAACTCGAACCAATCGTAAGCTATGTAGATGATGGTATGTCACTCTTCAACTGCTTGAAGACTTGGTCAACAAAATTCGGCAGATTGAATCCCCTGAATAAGTTATTTAAACCTTACAATTAACAGCTATTACCAACGTAGGTCGCCAGTAGCGAGGACAAAGTTGGAAGGGTTATAGATGGACACTAGGGACGAAATCAGCCACAATTTGACAACAGGTAAAAAGTTGTCTTGCCGTCCATGCAAAGATTAAGAAGGGCCTGCTGGGTCCCCCCCAATAGCGGAATACCCCATCACACTTTGCAGGCCACTGAGACTGGTCGACACATTGGCTCGATCTCAAAGGAGGATCAACACTCTCACATCCTGCGAACAGTGGGCAACGCGAGTACGCAAGGGTCAGAACGGTCATGTTATAGTACTAGTAGGAATCGTACCTTTAATGAAACAATCCAACAAAATGGGTTAGTAGTCTGTGAGTGAGGACTTGGAGACATCGAGTGGCTCGGATGGGAGTAAACGAGCTAGAGGAGATTAAGACTGAAGGCTGAATGCTGCAATGTCGTCTACTTGTCAAGACAGGGACGGAACCAATGATAATTGGTCATCAAACACGAAGTAAATCAAATAGAAGTAGCGCAAATAACATAGATCAAGTCCGACTTACAACCGAGGTATGGTACAATTACAAGCAAGGGCAATGTTACATGATTATAGAGCCATAAGAAGAGGTGTATGAGATTGAAAAACAATCATCAAGGCATTCGTCGTCAGATGTAAGTGACGCATGTGTGACGGCACTCCTGGGAGGTGTGCCTGAAGTTATCAGTATAAGAAAAGGGATGTGTGACTTGCATGCCTACCGTCATCGGTACCCTCGAACTCAGCAATACATGCCAGGGCTTCAGAAAACATGTCCACTTCGGCCTGTGCACGCTGCTTCTTCAAGCCCAGGATATGCATATCGGACTTGAGAATATCCGTAGTCTTGGACTTCATTGGTTGAAAGTCGTCGCTAGTGTCGATGTGTAGGGATCCGCTTTCTGCAAAGGACGCGCTCATGTATGCATGATATGTCATATTATCAACCCAAGTCCTCAACAAACGAGGTAAGGAAAGAAATTGATCGTCCAGCTGCATACCATCAGAACATCGGGTCCTCGTAGTATAAAGAGCACTCACCCCTTGGAAGGATTCATAAAGATAAGGATCGTCGTCTATGGTTTGTGGGAAACCAAACAACGTTCGGTTTGCATGAGAATCAGGCCCTACGATACCTTGAAAATGCGATGTCATGATAAGCCATGCATTGCATTTATCTTGAATGGCCTTCATAGGTCGACACTGATCGAACATTATCGAGCTGGGCACCGCGCATGCTCCCGCATACGCGACATCCTTCACTGTGGATCCTAGCTTATTGGAGCCAACTAGAAGTAAATTTTGAGTATTGGACATAATCCTCGAAGAGCCATGACTTACTCGAGAATCTGGTTTCCATCTCTTCAGACAGGTTTGCAATAGCATTACTAAATAACGAAACTTCCATCTGAGCTCGATGTATTCTATGCTCCATCAAACACCCCCCTCGAGAACGGAATGCCGCACAGCTCCTCTCCTCTTCTTGCTGAAGTTGTGTCTGCATGGCAACCTCCCTGAGACTCACATCCAGGAGAACTATAAGATCGTGGGTATCGACCCATCCAAAGAGTACCGAAGCTGTGATGTAGAGAGAAGCCAGAAGCTGGAAATGAAGTTAGAAGACAATATCAAAAAATGTGAGCACGCTCACACTGTTGCGGTCCTGTTTCTGAAGCCAAGATATGAGAGCTGTCTCGGTTTGTTCCATTCCAAGAAAATGAGTCTTTGAAGATGTATCATATGTAGAAAGAAAAGGGGAGCTGATATTTAACATGTCGAAGTTAGAGGGTAGCAAGAGCAAGGCTGAGGAATACTCTCACGATCGCTGAGTGCTTACACAACCTATAACACTAGCTAGGAAGGCGATGTCCGTGTCCAGATACGTTGGCCATCAAACAGCACAGTGGCCATCAAACTCTAAATACATCATATTGAAGTTAGAGGGGTAGTAAGAGGAAGGAATATGCTCACATAACCTATAACACTAGTGGGGAGGCGACATCCGAGCCATGATACGGAGACAATGGCCATCAAATGAAACGATGGCCATCAAATGAGACGATGGCCATCAAACTCTGAATACAAAAATAGATTATAAGTCATGAATGTAATAACAGTGACTTCACGTACAAGTAATTGTTGACTAGTTCCGTCCACAAGTATGAAAGGCTGTTTCGAGGAATTGTACACGACCGTCACGTTATCAAAGGTCTACAATCTGACGGAGAACAAAGTACATTTCAGACTCATGGGCTCGTTGCAAATACAAATTGTAAAATATTGAGCACGATTACTAGTCAAAGATGGGCCACTGGTGGCAGCTCCATTTCACCGGCCAATGCAGGTACACATCGGCCTCGCTGCATCCCCGAGTCAACATTACATAGTAAGATCCCATCCTGAAAAAACTCACGTGATTGTGCACAGCTCTCCTAGTTTGCCCATGAAGGGCACGTACTGCGGGTCCTCAACCTGCAGGATCAGCATGATAGCTGTCTCGCGGAGTTCCCCATGGACTTGGCTCGCAGATGGATAGTCTGGCATGACGTCAACTGTGCCCCAAATGGCTATGAGTCTTGCCAGCAGTGCTTGATAACACTGGTGTGAAAACAAACGTGAATAAAGCATCTAGAAGGTAGAAGGCACTTACGCAAGACCCCATCAACGCCAGTGTATCAACTGGCGTATTTGTAGCATTCCTGAAAATTTGTGGCTCCAAATCAGCGAGGGTGAGACGAACGCGGCATGTGGCCGTGGTTCGAAATATAACATGATATGCTAATTCCTTCGCCATCTGGTTCTCCAGGAATTTCACAAAGGAATTGACCTGTTAGACGAGGTAGGTCATCTGTCGTAATAAGAGTGAGTTCATAGAACTTACGCTGAGTGGTAACGAATGAGCATAAGGGTGTATGAACATTTGCAGCAAGTCCACAATGCAGTGTCTTTGAGCCAACCCAAAGAAGTTGCCTAAGCCAAAGATGCGACTGTCGTCCATGGAGCGGACAGCTACTCTTCTATTGTCATACATGAACTGGCTCAACCACGGAAGAGCCTATTATGGAATAAGAGAAATCAAAATGAGATAAGAAAGACACGTACGAGCGCCAATACTGCGGACTCCGACATCGGAACCTGGGTGTCTCTGGTGAGGACTACATATAGAGGATTCAGCATGTGATGGTATGTAGGATTAAGCACCCGACCTGTTTCTAAATTCTCAGATGCGATATTTGCCCGAATGAGGGCTTGAGGCCAGCAGCTTCTGAGTAACTCGCGTCTACGGTCAGCATAATCCACAGTTACGAGAATATGTGGGTTGCCGGAGTGTCCACAACACACATTAACCCTCGTGAGGATGCGTAGGTATGCCAGACCCCTTCGCCAGTTGGGACAGGTTGTCATGATTCTTTGGAGGCTGTGCCTGGCTGTCTCTTTCTTGATACAGGGAAGAGCCCTGGTTCTGGTCACTGATGAGTCGATGGTTGATGAACCTACCCATGTAGTCTGGAGAACTGATTCAGAGTCAGTTGACCAACTGGTCAGTGGGGAGGTAGTACCCGTAAGGATGCTGCGCTGAAATGAATCAGAGTTTCAGGCTCGTGTTCGCGAGCCACCCCAACCTGCGACTGTGACAGTGTAGCACAAGAACAGATACAATCGTAAGGTGGACATACATGATCGTATACACCGTATACGGCTGCTGTCGGAGGAAAATTTTCCTCGTAACCATGGCAAATTGAGAAACGGCATGATTTCAGGCAGCTACACACAAGAATCAGTAGGAAGGCATGGCACAGTCGAGATTGAACCTACAGCTAAGACAAATACAGGAACATCCTTGCCCTCTCGCTCATATGGTGTGCCATGACTCATAGGAGCATGCAGATAAGCAAACAGTGACAGATTTTGTTTGAGCTGGGAGGAGAAGGTCAGTATATCAAGTAGCACACATAAAATAAAACTGTCTTACATTATCCAGATCAGTAGGCGGACACTGAGTTCATCATAAGATACCCAGAATGAACTAAGAGACACAAGTTGCATGCTTACATAGAGAGGATAAAGCATGGGCTGCGCGCCTATCCACAGATACCCCACAAATGACACGCAAACGGTGGGCGCACCCTGAAGGATGCAGTGTGAGCAAGGTATTTCGGGTTGACAAAAAAAGAAGACAATGAACAGCGAAAAATTGCAAGCCAGGACAATGGATATTGTAGATACAGGCATTGTCATCGACACTTGGTATGGAGTTGACCAACATTAGCATTGTGACTGAGGGACTGCAATGTAAGGTCAATGTGAAAGTTATTTAAAGCAATTTGCACGTCTAATTTGAGTTTTGATTATTTTCGACCTGCGACAGGCCATCGCAGCGCCATCGAAGAAGTCATAGGGCCTAGGGCACTTAAGTTAAAGTCAGATGTGCATATTACATGTACATACCTCGCTTGAGAGACAAGCCATCACGGCGCCTTGAGCATATTACATGTATGTGTCTCGTTTAAGGTATACGCCGGATATCAGGTGGTATTGGGCCGACGGCGACAGATTATATGTACGTATACGTTTTGAGCTGTATTTTTGATAAGTCATATAATTCCGGCGCCATCCAAGTGCTAAAAACACTGTCTATCTCTGCAACGGCCTCTTGGATCTCATTACGTGGGCAGAACAGCATTCCTAGATATCCCAGGTCAGTTCTCATAGTCTAGTTCTACATCACTACCGTACATCTCATTAAATTGAGATATCAGCGACTCGCTACTGGAATCTGACCCCTGTAAAACGTTTTGCATCCTGGAATCTCCATCTTCCTCTTCATCTGAAGAATCATCTTCCTGGCTCTCGTCTTCGTTATAATCGTCAATGACCTGACCATCATCTTGTTCCGCACTGCCCTCAGGCACAGGCACATCCTGCGAAGTGGGGTGGTGAGAGTAAACGTGTCCAACTCCAAGACCAAAGTGGAAGCGCATCAACATATCGCGGTCCACAAATCTAAAATGGTGAGCTCGATATAACTTACACGTGAAACAGACCCTCACTCACCGATTGACATAGTATTCCCGCCAATCATCCTTGTCCCCTGCACATGCTGACACTCCCAATCTATTTTGGTATCTCTTGAGGCTGGCGAAAGCAGGTATGATGTGGCAGCCTCTGAGGACAAGTGCTGGATCCAAGAAATCGAATGAGTACTCGTCCGCCATAGGCGGAAATCTGACTCGATCTAAGCTCAAGGTGTCCCAGTCGGAGACCTGATCCGTGGGCTCGTACCATCGGATCCACAGGAATTCCATTCTGCGTGGAGTGTAGTCGACCATTCCAACTCCAATAATGATTACATTCACATGATAAATACCCAGTACCTTACCATAGGTGAACTTGTGACTTGCGTGCTCCACATCATTGTCGGGGCATAGCACCATAATATTACAGTGTTCAGTTCGTGGGTTGATTACATCTTGCGCTCGGCGAACATCGTATGTAGTATAGTTGATCCTTGCGATGTTGTGGCGATAGATGCGATCATCCTTGATAATGAGTGTGTTGATAGTATGATCTTCTCCCGACTCCAACAGATTTTTTGACGTGTTGATCCGACGGACTAAATGTTCCTTGAGTTTCAGCACGAAATTCTGCAGGAGCATGTGAGATGAGTCGGTTGTGGAAATACATTTAAATGACCTTGATTGCTGGGTCGCCTTCATGGCTGCGTAAGTACGAGCCTATATGGATAGGGTACTTCTGCGTCAGACCAATGTGATGGTGGACGTACGGGCTTGTCGCTATCTCGGCAAGTTCGATGTGGGGGCGATGAACGATTTTGTCCCCTATACGACGAATGCGAGCTTGACGGCGTTCAATCCGAGTGAGCTGCCTCACGAAGGACTTGCGATCCGTGCGGCGATATCTGGCCTTAGGTGAACGATGTTCGAGTTCACCCTAGGGAGGTTCCAGTCAGTCAGTCAGTCAGCGAAGTCTAGATATGAACGATAGACCACGTACAGGTTCGGTACTGTACGAATCGGAAGTGCCATACCGGCGAATTGTCGACACATAATCCCCCAAGGCATGAAACTTGTAGGTCTGGAAGTTGAATATCTTTGTTCGCCGAGCATTCCGTACAGGATTCTCTGCCTCGACCGCTGTCCCTTGCTTTCGCTTGCCCTTCTGGGATCCCTTTTGTTTTGCTGCTAGCTTCGCATGGCGTCGGGCGTGAGCTTCGACCTCCAGACGAAGTTCGTGGGTGTCGTACGCAGAACAAACTTTGGCTTTGAAGTCCCGGAATTGTTGACCGACTGCAGAAGTGACGGAGTCCATGATATCAAGGGTCAAATCAGAATGCATTCTAAGCTTAGCCAATCCGTGCCAATGCGCCATGGTAAATAGCAACTTGAGAACAGCTGTGTTATGGGGTTCAGGAAGAAGACGGTCAAAAACAGGGATAGAACACTGTAGTGTGTCAGACCCCATTTAACTTCAATTGCGGTGAAATCATTACCTGAAGTAGGTCTTCAAAATTGCGAGCTGCCATCCGTTTCATCTCCGAGGAGTTGGCCGAAAACTTTCGGATGGTAGCTTGTCCGAACGTTGGAATTTGCCTGAATCTGGTCAGTAGGGGGGGTCAGCGGAGTGGGTGACGTGTATTCTGGTAACATACCTCCGGTCCAATTCGTCGATGAGTCCCTTGTCTTGCGCCTCGACAATTCGTAGTAGGTGAACGAAAAGCATTTTCCAAACCCCGATTTCGAACTCATGTAAGAGATCTACCACGAGAGCGCAGAAAATGTTGAAACCAAAACGGCCGAGGCGATCTGAGAATGCATTCTGAAGCGTGTTAGTCATCGTTACTAGCATGAAACTTGCAGCCTCACCGAGGTGGGTACCCAGGACTGTGGTTTCAGTATTTGTTCCACCCGCGTGCTACCGACCACCAAGTCCTTTTCATAGATCAATTTGCGAGCCTCGCTCACCAAGGAATGCCTTCCGACATCGTCGCGTGCAAGGGTCTCACGTTGTGTTCTATCCTGAGGCCGACCCATGTTATGAATGTGATCCTTGGGTATAAGGCAACGAGGGCATGGGCAACCTCCCATGTTTCGTACTGTAGCTATCAGTACCCTATTCAGACCAGAATCAGCACAATCCAACCTGCCTTAAGAATAATACATACTTTTCCGGATAATCTGCGGAATATGTGAAGATTCTAGGATAGAATCTACACATGACGCCGTCGCAACAGTGAATCACGATGCCATGTTCATATGCCTCCAGGAATTCGTCGTCCAGTAAAATCTTCCACTGCTCGTGAAAGAATTCTCGATGACAGTGCGTCGCACAATCACTATTTTTCCCGCCTATGAAATCCTTAAACGAATCTGGGAGCTGATAGCGTGAAGTTAAGTACCCTGCAGAGCCAAAATTATGGTAAGACATACTGTTTCGAAGTAAGCAATGTGATTGCTCAGGTTACACGATGGCTTGCACCGGCGATACTTGGATTCATTACCAAAATACATATATGTAGGCCAAAGCTTGGCGTTGCCGAAGGAAGTGAGTTGCATGGCATCAGACCAAAACATGAGGCCAGCCACTACTCGAGGCAAACCACAGCCGGGTTCCGCAGGCAAGCTTTGCACTTTGCTATGAGCTTCGTGGAAAGCCAGAGAAGTGTAGAGGTTGCCATATATGGAGACCTCCGCGTCAAGATGGGCAGGGGTCCAATGCAATTTATATGGTTCATAATGAAAGAGCTTACTATCTCTGGGGTTGGCAAGCTTCTCCCGCAGAACGGCCACAAGGGACCAATGATACAGATCAGCAGCTTGGTAGACACGAGGACCTGGTACTTCGGTGGTACGGGGAAAAGGTACTCGGATAGAGACAGACATTTTTTTCCATCCAGCATCTTCGTCCTCCCACACTTCTCCGTCTCCCTCGTCATACTCATTCGTACCCAACTTCGTGTCGATGTTCCTCCAATGAGTAGAGCTAAGGTCACTAGGGATGAAAGAACTGCAGCCCAATATTCCCACCAGCTTGCTATAATCCTGTTGCGACTTTTGGACTCCTTGATTCCAGTACCAATCACCCAGCTGGAAGGATGACTGATTGGGATAGGGATGGTATGGAGAGTCGCTGCTTGATGGAGGAGGTTCAGGGGCTAATTCATCGACTTGAAGGGCGCCAGGAATAGTTGAGAGGTCTGCTAATGTAATGCACTCTTCTGGATCGTGTAATGGTGGTGTCAAGGAAAAATATTGACGCACTAGCCCGAAGAGATTCGGGCGGGTGCAAAACACCGTGTGCACTGCTGAGGCTGGACGGTCTTCTGCACTGACAACAGAGCCAATAGATTGTGGAAGTTGATCGCGGATTTCTGGAGGGACAGTTGGCGGGGGCTGAGGAAGGACATCCCTAAATCTCACCGGTAGCCTTCGGTTTTGACGCCTCGGTCTACGTTGCGCTAAACTCATATCCGCCCCGTCCATGTCCCCTCCCTCACAGGAGGGCCCTCCTGCATCAACTGATGAATTGCGCATAGAAGAGACCGTGACTTCGAGACCTTGAGGGACTGGAGAAGCGTCGGCTGCACAGACGAGCGACTGGTTGGGGTGCGAATCCAATAAAACATTGGGTGAGGCATCGACTGCAGGCCCGGCTTCATTGACTGCAGGCCCAGCTTCATCGACTGCAGGCCCAGCCGCATCATTTGAGAGGCGGGGCCTTTTCCTGCGGCCTATAAACTGTTTGAAAGAAGATAATGCGGACGAAAGACACTTTTTGGTGTGAGAGCATGAATGTTGGTGTTGGCTGAAGTGGTTCTGCGCCGTGAATGTGCGCTTGCAGATACAGGTATAACTGGACGCCGTCATGGAGGAATGTCAGGATCACAAGGATTGGCCTGAGGTGATTCGAAAAAAAAATGATGCGATGGCGCATGGATGGCTGATGGAAAATGCGATAGTGTAATTATTGTTTAGTCAGGCATGCGATGGCACAGGGATGAGGCCCAGCCGCAGGAGGCTATATATTTCGGGATAGACGCATTCCAGCCACCTACTATCCTTGCAACTGTGATGTCCGCACCCTCTTCTCCATGTTCTACGTGCTCAACTCTCCCGGAGTTCAAAGCCGACCCCAACGTGGTAAACATGTTAGTGAAGATATTGACTTCACGTCACGGTGTCCTGCATTACCATGGACAAACAGGAGAACTAGCAACGTTTGAATGGTAAGTTAATTGTCATTGTAGAAAAAATGGCTGCGCACACCTACTCATCGGGATTCCAGGCCTACCACTAGATTTGGGCATAAAATACACCCTTCAAGATTTGCGGCTTATCGAGAGGTGCACAACTTTTGTTACCCATGTTGCCTGTGCACAACGGGGGGCAGATATGTCGAGTCATCGATCTTTCAGCGAACTAGAGGTGTATATCAAGGGCAATACATTGCTGAATGCGCGACCAGCACATGTGGTTACATGCGTTAGTCGACTTTTGCTCCACCAAGAGGAAAGGATTCCTGATCTATGACTAAGTAAATGTTGAGAGATTTTTTGCAAGAGCCTGCGTACCGGCTATGTATTATCCTCGGAGGTGCATGTTTAAGATTGAGCACGTCCGTACATGCTCATATGTTCAGGGATGATCAACCGCCGTACATGTTTCCATATGATTGATGTCAGGCACGACGATAGATGGACTGAAGTGGGCAATGCACTATAAGTATCTTGTCCTTAGTTCGGAGGATAAGGATACGTACACGCCTCATGTCAGGACATTCACGCACTTGAAAGTACGTCAGACCAGAACGTATTGTCCCACCTGCAAAGTGACAGAAATCGTAATCAAATCAAATAATAAATAAATAAAATACGTACAATTTGGCAGTCGGGATGAGGTCTGGCGCGCTTGGTATGTACTTGAGTTAATGCAATAGTGCACCTTCAATATCTCACTTACGCGAGATTACGGTTAATCCTAGTGTAAACTTATTATGATATTATGATAAGGCGGGCACGACAAATACACTTTAAATCTTTGTATCAAAGTAACCGTACAACTACGTTCCATCAGGATGCTTTGTGAGATGATGGAAAATCGAAAAGAAGAACAATTCACATGAGTAGGGCTTATATACTGAACAACTTTTGGAATAAAACTCCGCCGGCAGCCCCCGAAATCTTGAAGGGACTGGTATGAGAGAGCCATACCTCAGTCATGGTTACAGTACTAACAGCGGCCCAGAGTGGACGAGGAAAGGAAAACGGTGAAGTACATATTTCCTCGGACCAGCACGGGAGACATGTTCTAGATCTGTGGCACCGGCAGGACTAGTAGTACGTACCAGTACAATCTCCGAGTCATTGACAGCGGTTGAAGGTTTGGCAATCATGTTCGGACAAAGAATATAGCCCCCACCAGCAGCACGACATACAATCCTCGGCTCCTAACTCCGTCACCATTCCTTTTGTTGAACCTTCTCATGATCGTAATCTCGGTGTAACCATTGGCATGGGCGTAACTGCAATGCGTACGGCACGCTACCTTTCATCCTGCCATCCAGTCACGGCATCCACACATTCAACGTCGGCCCGGGAGTCTTGTTTCGGACGATGCTTCTTGAAACGGTCAGGATTTGACTACTAGCGACTACTAGTAGTACACGGTGTAGAAACAACAATACAATGAGGAACAAAAGAAGCTCCTGACTGTATCTGTAAAAGTTGTAAGGTCGCGCGCTGCCTAGTCTGCGTTACTTGAGAAGCAAGTGCGTTCGACCCTATAGGGGAAGTGAGTGCAGCAAGGATCTAGAAGTGTGCGCTTAAGCGAAGCGCGAGAAAGCGCAGGAGCACGCAAGGTACAAAGGCGCGGGAACGCGCGCGCGTATTAGCGCGAAGCGCGGGAAAGTGCGCGCGCATATGCGGAAATGAGAAACTAAGCTTAAGTAGTGATATAAAGCAAGATAAGAGATATAAGAGTGCAAAATGTAAAGGAATAGCTTTCTACTATATTCTGCTAAGTAGTAAGTGGGTAGTAACTAGTAAGTGAAAAGTAGGAAAAGTAGGTCCAGTGTAGTATGTACTGCTAGCGCTTATATAGCGCGCCTAAGCGCGCTCATGCGGAGCCGAAGCGCTACCGAATAGGTATGTAAAAATATATATGAGTGAGAAACTATGATAAAAATAAAGGTGGAACTATGCTAATAAAGGAAATGGAAATATACATACTAGGGAGCTTGGTGGACAGTGGATGGATGCATCTGGATGGCTGGCGCTATAGGGCGCGCAAGCGTGGGAACGCGCGCGCGCGTATACATCGTGAAGCGCGGGAATGGTGCGCGCATGGCGCGCGTTGCGTGGGAAAGCTGCGCCTCATATAGAGATAGCTGCGGGTAGCGCACAGAGTAATGCTATGAGTTCGTGCTGTATACTCCTTGGTGAAAACTACCATATCACGCCATGAGAGGCATGATTCTCTACAACAGTATGTACTTATCATATGGGCTGAACCCTAACTGCGCCATGCTGAGGCGTGTTCCATTGTCGATATTTGATTCCGAGCGTTGATGCTGGTACTGGCCTTTTTTTCTATTTTGGCGTGCCGGGGGGAAGTTACTACTTGCATCTCCTACTGGCCCGTGATCCATGCTCCTCATTCAAGTTTGCGAATGCGGGGTCCTATCACACACGCACGAATTCTCATTTGCTCATGTCCTTGATGGCATGAAGTAGTAGATGTGTTTTGTATGTGGTCATGCAGTGAATGATCCTTGTACGTGCTTTTCGTACTCATGATTCTTCATCTGCAGCTGACTCGCACAAACAACAATCGATCGTACGTGGGTAACGTCTTTCGAATGGTCAGATCAGATAGTACACGTCCAGGATCGTCTGATAGGCCTTCTCATTACGACGAGCCAATTATAATCACTCGAGTCATAATGTACCTCAGGCTCGCATCATGATGGAAGCACGCACTGGGCGCGCGTAGTATTTCATTTAAAAACTGGTGTTTATGCGCCCTCAGTGCTCCTAACTTGAACGTTGCCGCGATGACTGTAATTTTAGTTCCTGGTTCTTCTGGTGAGAATACTGAGTACTGTTTAGTACAAAACACCGCTCTTCGGATGCACTTGTGTTATGCATGTGCCAGTGGAATCCCTGACAGTGACTTCTTGAGTTCTTCATACCTGAGGTCATGCGCTCCAACTTGAAGGGGTATCATGATAAAGATGAAGTTCTAGGTGTTGGACCATGATTAAATTCTTCATGCTCCATAGTATCCAGATGCCGAGTAGTCCTTGCCCGTGGGAGCCCTACTGCACCGTGTATGAGATGTGCAATGATCGCATCACGAAGTTCGCGATAAGGACAATGTTTCGTCCTTGCTTATCAAAATCACTTGAAGCAATTCAATCGCCACAAAATTTCCGATCTCAATCATCACCTCTTAGATCTCGCAAATTCATCATACTTCCATTGAGTAATTTGGCTGGATCATCGCAGCGGGAAAAGTTTGGACGCTACGAGCCTCAGGCGCATTGGCATCCAGGATCTCAATCAAAGTGACAATGACAGACCAGGTCGAGGAGACCGATAAAAATGTTTGTATGTTTCCTCAATGCAGCAAGCACAGAATCTACACGATAAACTTGCAACACAAACCTTGCTATTTCTTGAAATAACAATATATGTTTATCACATTCTATCGCTACAAGATATATATACTACTGTCATGAATAACTCGAGGTCAAGATAGAAATAGAAATTAGCATTCTGCACCAAGTGAACGCATCAAGATCACTGTGTGGTACAAAAGACCCTGTGTAACAATGCATGTCATGATTCTTAATTCCCCTAGACCAGTCAGAATACATGTGTTGTACAGTGGGTGCGATAAGTTCTTATATTAATGTCTTTGACATCACTTACAACTGTTGGCAAAAGCAGAAGCCAACCGAAATCTCGCCTTTGTTCGACGGACGACCTGGACTGAGCTATAAACCAGCTCGAAACAAGTATCAGTCAAGCGTGTTGTACAGTCTGCGTGGGTTCGAATGATTGAAGCTTCAAAGAAGAGTCCTTGACATATGGACTCGGAAGTGGTCGGCGCTTTGACAGTGCGATAATCTTCTGGCTCTCAAAATCCGACTCTCGGTCTGTTGAATCCCCATCAGAGCTATTAGAATCACCCTCCCCCCTGTCCTCATCGAAATGGCGTGAGCCAGATACTGACAGGAGACTAGAACGCAGGGGATGAAATGCCACGCAGCCGATTACATCTTCGCTTGCAAACATTAGTTACAAAGGGATGAATGGGGATGTTTGATACACTTGCCTCCATGTGCGTTGAAAGTCATCTTTGGGGCGATGTTCTGTGGTGAAGTCACTGGTGACTGTTCAGAACCCAGTTCGTCCGAACCTTCAAGGTCAAACATCGAAACACATCCATCCTACAACCAGGTTGTTAGCCAGAAAGCCTGAATGACAGACATCTGAGCAAGTAAAGTACATGATCACCGACGCTTAACCATCTTCCAGCGTAATCTATGTCAAATTCAATTTTTTGATTAGTCAGGGTTTTGCGAGGACCAGGGGATGTCTTGAAGACTTTTACAGGTACAGATGTATCACTGCGAAGATCCCATGCATATATAGCATCGTGTCGACGAAATGCAGCATACAAAATGTGCGGTTTTGTGGGGTTGAACTTTAGCTGCAAGGAATAAGATCAGCTTTACGACTAATTTAATTCTGAAGGCGACATACCTGCGTGACTCCGGAATAAAAATCTGCGCCTCCCACAGGCGTGATAGCTGCTTGATTTGACTCCGAATACAATGCAATATTATTTGTCGCTGGTGAGGAAGGTGTTAAGCTGCCGATCGCATGATAGTCATAAGAAGAGGAGAAAGCTACGCTAGATATAATGCCTGATTCGGAAATCGGATCAAAATCTATACGAGTAGTAAACCTCGCATCTTACCTTTAAGGCTATCCTTACTTTTCTTGGAAGGCGTGGTCGGGAGCCGATCGCCCTCCCCAGGTTGTTGTATGTCAAAGATCTCGATGGCAGCTTCGAAACCGCAGTATAGTCTTGGTGTGCGTGACGCACATGGTGATTATGATCAAATATAAATGACAGGCTTACTTGTTGGCTGTCGAGTTGAATGCGAGACTATGAGGAGCGATAAACCTCTCGTGATGATCGATGATCGGGTATGAGGCCCTCAGCTGGTAAGGTCAATCAACAGTCTGACGAAAATGTATATGAACACTAACCTTCCATCTGAGGCATCCAGAAGCTTCACCAGGGACAATCACGTACAGAAGCGACGAAACCATAAGCTGGAGTGTTATTGGATGAGGCCCCTGCATACCAAGCAAAACTGACGACCGCTGAGGACTGCGAGAATGTACGCCTATGGTGAGCGGAGAGCTCTGTGCCTTTAGGTTGTTTTTAGTGAAAAAGCTACATCATGCACAACATGACTGACTTTGAACGTCTGGACTTGAGCATTCAAACTACACATATGCACGTGTCAGTAGAGTACTGTTTTTGTAGTGAGTTTCCCAAGCGACGATTATTGTAGGAGTGACTTGCGAATGGCGGAGCTTGAAGGGTCGCAAGTGACGGAGTCCCATAGGAGATATTGGGATGCCCTGACGGTGGGGACACTGTTTATGAGAGGAGGGACGTTCCCTCACACGTATTAGTTATTGCGGTACATAAAAGAGGGCGGAGATCGTCGGACGTATGAGGGGAAAGTCCTTTGGTGAGCTGGATATGGCTGAACATTCCAGAATATGAAATGATACTTGTTCCGCCCGGATATCAGAACGACGAAGAAAATAGACCATCTGGCTACTCACAGATGGTGGAAGAGAAATGTGCGAGAGCGGAGAGGTAGGTTCCCCTTTGTCGTTCAATGGTCATACCTGGAGAGTGAAGAGAGCAAAGAGAACAAATGCAGAAGCGACGTGGGAAGGTGATTGAGGGAGAGTAACTTGAAGGTGCTAGTGGGACGACAGTGATCAGTGACGGTGGAACCACCAGCCTTGCACTCGAGAGAGAGGAAGAAAATGCGCTGCTGCCTGCTATGAAAGGCTGAACCGTGTGTCTGCAACATGTAGTACTAATTAGTAGTAGTAGTAGTAGTACATCGGACTATGAAGCCTGGGACCCCGAACCCCCTGAGACCCTGATCTCTAACCCTGCTTCGAGTCTAGTACTACCTAGTAGTACGGTGACCACCATATACGGTACGCTCATGCCTCTACACCCATCTCATGCTCACTCCAAGCCTGCTCTCCTGGCCTCTCTGCGTCCTGCCGGCCCTTGCACGGGGCTCCCCGTTACAATGGGGTACTGGACGACCATCACTGTATGAATGAGGAGTGAAATTGACGGCTGAAATAAGAAGGATCATCGAGGATGGAATAGTAGACGACGGGGAGAATCGGCTGATCCGGGATCTGGCACTATGCAGTATGGTCACGGTGCGAAGTGGGACATTTGTTGGTCATAATCATGGTGCCTGGAAGTTCTATCGAGAGCTTGAAAGCTTTCACTCAGGCTGGCAACTTGAAATCGTACGACTCACAGGGTTCGAGTAAAATCTTGCAGTAACTTAGTACGTGAGACTACATTGTTTTGATCAGCCATAGTGAATCCAGTGGTATAGTACCTCCTGCAATCACATCATACTCAGACACTGCACATACACAAACCGATCCACGAAACATACAATCGAGTGCTACGATTCTCGATTTACCATGGTTCGTCCGATGACAAATCTACTAGAGGCTTTTCCCGAAGTTTGGACTCGGACATATGTGTCTCATCGATGCTATAAAATTGCATCACCTCAGCAATTTTATCCAAGGTATCGTGATCCGCGCGTCCCAGGATCATCAATTGCATATCATAAGCCTGAATCCGAGTATGAACTTCTCTGCTCAATGGGGAAGCGAGGTAGGAAGCGACCGCCAGCTTGATGGCCCTACGAGTGAGTCCCTGGCTGTCTGACACAAGATAAAGTGTCTGCAGCACAAGCGTCAAGTGAATAATGTAGGACATGAAACACTGAAGCACCGCGTGGCTGACAAAGAAGTGTCGATATCCTTTCGTACACGCAAAATAATGGTGCGTACGATATCTGGTATACCTCGTAAACCCACGTGGCAAGTACGACACTTGCTGGAATTGGTACTATGATGGGAGCCGCAGGTTCCGACATCATGCCCACAATAGTGCCCAGCATGGATAATCCAGAGGTCCTGTAAACATTAAATGAGATAAAAATTTATCCATCACGTAAAAGACCGGCCTACACGGTCTTGTTGAGATTAGGTGTAAGTCCAGCTTGTATTGTATGGATTATTTTCATCATCAGTTCCCTGAACTCTTGGCTATGCAAGTACTGTGCATAAATCATGTTAGGGCGGGTGCGACAACAACAAATAAGAGAGCCATCACCTTATGAGGGTCACAGAAGTTCCATACATCGACGATGTCAGCGTGAAGTACGTATAGACCATCCCACATCTTGCGGATCCTGAACCTTGGGCATGACATAAGCGCCTTCCAATATTCTTCAAGACACGAAAATTTAGACCATATTCAGTAATTATGAACGTGAAACCGGGATGCACTTTTCTTGCCAACCCTGACAATGCGTAGATCACCAGATAAGAATGAAACAAGCAAGACTCACTCAATTGATGCCTTTATTTTGAGTCTAGGATCCACTCGCTGAGTGACGGAAGTCATCACTGCAGCCTCGGGCGCAGAATGCTGACCGACACAGCTTTCAGTTATCTTGATCAGGCGGTTGAGCGTTTCCTCATAGTCTTCTTTGGCTGTGATATTACACTTCAGAGGCATGCATGAACCTACCAGAGTCTCGATACACACTAGAGGTCGTAGCGTGGGGAATACCAGACCCTGCAAATTGCTTTAGAGGTCCAACGCAGTTAGCCTGAACCTCGGCATCTGCTTTTTGCTTGGTCAGTTCCTTGATGGCTTGTCGCTCAATCCATCGAGAGGCTTCATCTAGATTTCGCTCCACCCGATCGATGAGCATATCGTATTTAGTAAGAATGGCAATAACGGGAACTTTGACAAAGTGTGAGCTCCAACGTAGCAGAGAGAGATAGAATCGATGAACGTACCGTTTCCCAGCATTCCACTACGTTTCAAATCTAGGAAATCCTCCGTTCCCATCTCTAGCAAACGTCCGACTGTGATGCCTATTAGATATATTCAGTGGGGTTGATGGTACTACTTGACGACAGGAATTGAATACCATAAGCGTGGAGAGGCCAGGAAACCGCTGAGGCGTGAGGAGTATTGGCCATGTTGATTTGATTTAGGGAAATTCGAGCTGCTGTGAATTTATATAGAGGCTGAGGGCAAGCCATGGGTCAGTGCTTCAGCTGCGAGGAAGTGGGTATACAAAACCAGTAGCACAGACATACGCAAATCGAGTTTCCTCACCAATCGAACTTGGCGAAGTCTGTCATGAAGAACTCTGGAGCTGCAAGCGACTCTCGCAAGGATTTCTGAAGAGAAAGTAAATTACAATTTAATGAAACTGGAGTATAACTCACAAACTGGAGGATTTTGGGCATTTTCACCTGGGTAAAGATCCCACCTCGAACATACTACTAGGTCGAAGTGTCGCTGATGGTGAAAGTATATGGACCCTTCACTGTGACTTTGCGAGGATTACTACAACCATTTAGTTAAGTCATTCCCTGCACTTCAGTGAACGTGACGCCATCTTCAAGACCGTGTCTTGATTCATCATCGAGGCATGTTACCAGCCCTTCCTTGTCCTGCCATTTACTAATAATAGTATAGATAGGATGTTGGAGTTATAGTTCATAAGACTTACTTTTGCACTGACACAATCATTCCAGTAAGAGCTTGCTCGCCTGTAGGATCCACGCAAGGAAGTTTTGGACCAAAGTCATTGAAGACTGTGACGGAGCTGATCAAAAAGGGAGTCGTAGCCATCACGTGCCCAAAAAGACCACGGGTCCGAGTCTCCGCTGAGATAAAGTGAACACCATTCTGATGTGTCCAGTCGTCGATCTCAACTTGTTTCTCGTAAGAGACGTCACATAGTAAGACAACGGCCTGGAGAAAATCGACATCACAATATGATGGCTGTATGATAGTGCATGGACTTACTTAGAAAGGTCGTCACGGTATTAAATCAACTGAGATTTTCTGTCCTGCATTTCCCCCAAGATTCCAGACGGGGACGTACTAAGCATTCGGTTCGGCTAAATGAGCGGTAGCCTGAGGGTGAATGCTGCGCGTGGCTTTCCGATATCATTTTTGCGAAGGAAGTACTACTGTAGAAAATAATTCAACTTGAGGCAATGTGATGCCTAGTAAGCACGCACTGCTCAGTGTGAGCTGAGATCCTGCATGATGACCGGTTCTGGGTCATACTAGTACAGCGTCATGGACTTGACACCCGCCAGATAAATGTTCCGTTTGCTATGGAAGATATGAGAATTAAATGAGTTTGTTGGAACCATGCTTGTTGGTATTTATAAAAGGGTTACCAATCTCAGCCCCGAGGCGGCCTTGCAATCCGACGATCAGTACATTGGAGGCAGCCATCTTCCGAGTCTTCATCGCTGCGTACACCACTCAGCAAACATGGGATTATTGTTGTTGTTGACAACACGACTTCAAGTTACCCTCATGCCCTACTAGAACATAGCTGCAAAATCACGTAGGATGATTGACTCAGAACTTGAAGGTGAGTGATAGTATGAGCCGCACCGAGGACTCGGCGGCAGATGTGCAATTCAATCCTTTACTAGTACGGTATGCATCCATGAACCGGCAGTTACAAGCTGTAGTACGATGATATAGTAGTTCATGTATCGAATGAAATGTGATTGAGTATCGAGTCATAGTACTACATGTGAAAAACAGTACAGTAGCAGTCACGGTCAAATTACTGTGAACAAATGCATTACCATCTATCCGAGTCGGTGCTGTGTGAGTTCCACAAGACATATCTGGTCGAAATGCAGAGTTGCAGTAATCGTAGTCATCAAAAGAACCTTGACAGTCTTTGACTTCATGTTACATTTCGACACAGGTAGGACGAGCCCGCGATACTCCCCGTCCAAAACGAGGCAATGCTGATTCTTTTTGCGTGGATGAGCTGGGCTAAGATCACTGGCGGGAACATGATAGTGCTGTATCCGAGCCCCTGCGCCGTTGGATGTGCAGAATACTGCGACAAACCCCTCAGGTGCTGGTCCATTAGCGCCGCAGAAGGGGTCGGGACACGCAGTCGATACGAATCGTTTGCATAACCTGCCCTGCTCAAACCTTGGCGAGACTTTCAACAATGCATGATGTGTAAGCAATGTCGAAGAAAACTCCTTCTTCATCAACCAGGATAGTGAGCCTATAATCATAATAATAAAGTAAGTGGGCAGTGAACCAATGCCTTCGTTTTGAAGGTCCCACCGTTGTCTCCATGTTTCTCGGCTCTAGCCCCAATGTTGTCCCAGATATCGCCCTCGTTGATAGTCCAAGGGTCGGATGCTGATGAGTTGAGATTAGCGGTCTGATTGTCTGTTGCCGGCTCGGAGGGGCTGAGCGCTAAGTCAATATCCTCGGGGTTGGCGGTCCAGTGGGACAAGACATCAGAGGACAACGAGCTGACATTTGTAATAGAGCTGGAGGGGACTATTTTTTCAGGTGGGGGGGTTATACTTCTCGGAGGTTGCACTATCAAATATGATTTTTGCCGCATATCACAGAAAGAAACCAGGTCATTCCCTTCGAGTATCGCACCATTTAGCCTCATGCCATAACTGAACCACCGTAAGCAATTGCAATACCACGAATATACTAAGCATTCCACTCACCTGGTAACGACATCGGAACGTTTGAGTGTCGTACGCTTCTGTCCATGTATTGCAACAGCACAATCCTTGCGCCCAATATTGTACAGTGTAGCTCGGTAGCCCTTCAGGTTACCACCAACAACGAATACTTCTTTACCGATAACGTGATTGAATGAGTCCACATTCGCATTGCGCAATTTCATCACGAATCTGATAGGTACGTTGATCTGTAACAATTTAATAGATGTTCAAGTTGAGCTGCATTAAACTTACGATTGTGTGGTCACGGGTGGACAGTATTGTCAAGCAAGCCTCTGGAACGTTGACACTTTGTACGATCCCTGTCGCCTCATACTCCGGCCCACGAGCGACACTCACCACATCCCCAGGTCTGACATCATAACCCCTGTCTTTTGTGAATTTGATTGTTGGGGGGAGGCGGATCCGTTGAACCATGACTGCAGGAACTTGAATACTCGGGGGTCCTATGTTTGTATCGTCACCAGTGGTCGGCATAGGGTTTGCATCCCGGAACCACAGCATGGTCCCTCCCGAAGGAAACCAGTCTACAATACCGCATTTCCCTATATGCTCCCCGAAAAGGACTTGTATAACATCCCCGATTTGAATATCATCGGGTTGGGGGGAGGCTCAAAAGATTGCTGAGTTGGCAACTGTGCTTGTAATGTGTGCTTCAAAGAGCGACGATCCAAATAGTACTTTGAAACTTCAACCTGTGCATTAGGTTAGTTTTATAAGATTTATACTGACACCATGGACCCACCTCTTCCTTCGTAGAGGTTTGACAAATGTGAAATATGTCGTCCGTCATTTGAACAATGTGGCCTTCTAAACCTAAGTATATACCCGCTACGACTCTGACAGTATCGCCAACCCAAAACACGTGCTCGATGTCCTGGAGTCGAACTTCTGATTGTATTTTGTCTCCCTCGATGTTGTATTCCAAACGGACAGAACGAAATGTGTGGTCTGTCGAGACTACTTCGCCGATCTCTGCGCCAAATTCCCCGATGATGACCCTGGCTGAATCGCCCATGCGCAAGAACTCCAGCGAAAATGCCCGCTCAGCTATCTTCATGGAGGGTCTGTCCCATCCAGAATCAATATGCAGTCGAATTTCGTCGGGATGAGGGGTCTCGACAATGTTTAAGAGATCGCGGTGAAAACTCTTTAGTAACAGCCCCTGGTAATACTCTTCTCCTTTATACGAACATCCCACAACCTTCCCATCACGAATGATATCAGATACTGCATTGCCAGTTGGAAGGCGAGATCGGTCCAGTAATGCCACAGATCCCTTAGGCATAGGATAGGGAAAGTCTCGTAAAGCAACTAAGACCCAGACAAGAGGGTGACCAGATGGCGACTCGTTTGCCGGCTTCAAATTTGTGACGTAGGCCATGGCGTTCTTGTACTTGCCACATATGATCCTTACCCACCCTGGACTAGATGGCAGTTGGGATTGTGGATGTTCGACTACCGCACGTTCTTCGTCCGAGATCCGAAAATAATCTTTCACGGAGAGTCTGTGTGATGTCGGGAGTGATGATGCGATGGCCCGGGGACTCTCTGAGACCATGTAAAGTTGTCCCGGTACCCAGGGGGACACGATAACGGAGATTTTTTTACTCCGAAGGCGTTCTGCGACGTAGTCCGTGACAGTTCCTACCAAATAATGAGTCAGATGCTACATGATTTAGATTAAACATACTGTGAACGTTAAGCAAATACATCCTGTTGTCGATCGTGTCGGAGGACCAGGCAGCTCTGTAAGGAATGCATCCGAGCCTTCCTGGTGGCCTGGAAGCATGAGCTTGAGTGTCGTATGCATTGAAGATCTCATCGATTCTCTTAGACAACATATGTTTAGCTGATGGTCCCGGCAGGGTCGTGACTTGTCGTGGACGCGCAGGGAGGCCATACTCGTACCCCTCTTCTTCTTCTTCCTCCTCCTCCTCCTCCTCCTCCTCGTCGACACCTTCTCCTGCTTCCCTGTCGATGAAAATACAATGTTTCACCTACATTTCTTTAGTGTAGGCTCATCGAAGAAATGTTGCACTTACTCGTTTGCACTTCGATGCAAACGTAGCTACGAGCGTCGAACTCAATACGGAGGGCTCAGGTATGTACCTTCTTTTCAAGGCCATCAAATTATTCATAGCTTCGTAGTCATCGCCATCACCAGAGAATACCGCAAGTTTGGCTTCTCTCCAGTCATCCTCGCGGTATCGATTGCCAAGGTATGATATCAATCCCTCTTCCGCCTGTCCGTAGGATAATTCGGACTTGAGGTATCGTTCTAGGAAAGACCACGTCCCTGCATCCTCAAGTGGGGATGGCACACATGTCCCTGTCACGGTCATGTGCATGAGGGATAACTGCGACGAGTATCATCATCACTCACCATTCGAGTCATTCCTTATGCGCTTCGAGGGCGGTTCGTCAATCGGTAGTGCCGTGCGTTTGCTAGTCCGACTCGGAGTCATTACTAGCCCGAGTATTGCCGTACTTTGCCTGTAACTAGTAGTAGTATGATAGTCACGGTTGGCACCTAGTAGTCGAAGTTCACGTTAAATTCGTTTTGCATAGGTAAAAGCCTCATCGTAATGTACTACTAGTACCGTATATTCAAGTTGGTATGCCAAGTTTACTCACTGAAACTCGATCCTGGTGTAGTTAGTATGGCTCTGATATATCGTATCGAGGTAGTGATCAGTGAGCAGAAAGAAGACTGCAAATGTGTACAGTGATTGGTATTTATAGTGAATGACTAATCTGGAACTACTACCGTGACTCGGACTGTTAAACTTGAAGACTCGTCGGAGTTACTAGTAATAGACAATGATTGTGGACTCCTCGGAGTCCAGCCCGCCAGTGTGGCGGATGACTTCTGCGCGCAAACACCTTTCTTTTGTAGTACTAACGTGGCGACCATAGGCGAAGTAATGGTATGACTGGGAACTAAGTTGAACTTTAATTTTCAGAATTGATTCGAAAGTCCCATTACTAGTATGCACTCACGGCTATGACAAACTTCGGCACAGGTCGTGGCAAGGGGCGTAAGTGTGACCGACACCATAATGCACCGCTGCCTTTGCCAAGACCCAAATCGCGCAAATCGATATCGATATTGAAATTAAATCACTAGTAGCTATACTATATATTATAATGTATGAGGAGCGGAAAAAACCAACACTATTGATGAAATAGCGGTTGATATAGTGAATGACTTTACATTTAGACCCAGCCGGCAAAGACCGCTTCAATCTGAGTTTGAATATAGTTGTTCACTATATCAGGACGTCTTTTCTCTGGCTGAACCCCTTTCCAGCCACTACGTCCCCGACTTGCATTGTTGTCGCCAAACACCATCATCCTCAAGCACCTATGATACGATACCTTCACAATTGATTGATGATGGATTAATGTTACCCAAAGTCTGTCGCCCCTTCGGCAAAATTTGTGTATGTCTTTTTCTGTTTCTCTGTGTCCTTGTTTTATCGACGAACTTCATTTTCAGATTGTCTGTTTCTAGACAATAAGTACTACCCTTCGAACCTGGCCTGACCCGTAGTGGTCACCTGCTAGCGCTGACTTGGGCGTAGCTCGTGTTTGTTTGCTTTGTTCTGGGAATTTTTGCTGGTGTCAGTACAAGAGAAAATTGATGGTGAGCCAAACCCAGCTTTTCTCGTCCTCGTCCTAACAAGGCTCTGCCTGGCATGAAATTTGCAATGGAACAAGTATAACCATTCGGCGGTCGTATTTTTCGAAAGGACTGACGAAGACATGAGGGTGGATCAGTACAGATATGAGATTGGCGAGTCAGTGTGCTAGGGACAGAGCATCTGGTGAGTGTCATGGACGGAGGAGTCTCTTATACTGATTGAAGGAAGGGGTGTGCAGCATATCATAATCTCTCTTTTGAAGAGGCTGTCCATGCTTCTCAAACATGTTCATTTGCTTGAACACATCCGGTACTCCCGAGGATGTATTTTCGGTGGGGAACGCCCACGGAAACCCATCCATGACTGTTGGCGTTGGACTTCGAGACTTCGAGCTGTGTCGCTATGTGTGCCACCTCGGCATTCCCTGATCTCAGCACGTTGCCATGACTCAGAAAGAAAGTAAAATAGACACCTTCAATTAGAACATATTTCATTTCTAACTGCCTGGGACTCGTATATTATCTGTAAAAAAATAGAAAGGGGCCAAAATAAAATGGAAGTAAATCGCTACAATGCCGATGAGTATACTACTACTGGTACCTGCGCACGAGCTTACGTCATGCACCCCGATATTGCAGCACGGGGATTCAATTTCCCTCACGGCATCGATGGCGCTAGGATGGTGAGATTTTTTTGTCGATGGTGCTTGGTTGGCGAGATTTTTTATTATTATGATATCGATGGCACTCGGATGACGAGTCGTTCTCGTGTCACTTCGAATTGATATATATAGTGTCTCATTTCCTATGGCATGTAGACTACCACATCGTACAGTTTAGTATGACTATGGGTAACGATGAGAATGCTCCCTCTCTTGACGAAGCATCACGCAAGCGCAGTGGTTCAGCGCTCCATATGGGTCCGCGTAAAAAGGCGTGAGTGGTTCAAGTTGCACCCTTGCTAGTGCGTTCCTGAATTGTCCTGAGCAGGACTTCATCAAATCCCCTTGTTCTGCATGGTCGACATTTTGGTCGTACCGTCTTTGCATTATGTAACTATCCCGCTCTCTTGACTGCAGGTATACTCTGGCTCGAAGAATTGCAGGACTCTCCCCTGGAGGATTTTCCAGCTGAGTGAGTTCAGTTGCATCTATTAGTAGCCGCCGCTAGTATTCTGACCCTACCACTGACCGCAGTGTTCGACAGGAACACAGGGTATTCATAGAGTTACTAGATTCATATCCTGGTTTGATGGATCGTCTAACAAACGGCGAGGAGGAGGATATCATTTATGTGGGAGAAATGGTAAGTTTTGTATGTTGGAAGATCATCATACTTACCTTTTGTAGCTGGGTAAAGGGGCTTCTGGTGCACGAGGAGACGATACTAAAACCCTCAAAGCTGCTGTCCTCGAATGGCTCGTGCCCAGAGGACAGGCAGTCATACCGCCTCTCTCGCGAAACATCAAGTCCGACCGGGGGTTTAATCATGAGGTCACTGGTGCGTTACTCTGTCCCGCAGGCCTCGACTGGTTGAATGCAGAGTAAGTCTAAAATTTCATCTTCCATTAATCTAAATATCATGACGCTACCCAGAACCAAGCAGAGTCTTAAGAGCGGTGAAACCGCAGTTCGTGGTGATCAGTGGCCTATTTTTCTATATTCTGGCTATGTTTACGATTCCGAAGATCCATGGAATGGATTATTAAGAAGTGAGATACTCGTCTTTGTAAGTTCATTCTACGATAAAGTTCTTATCTTTAACTATTTCATTCGACAGGGTTTCAAACATGTATTTACATCTCCGAGCTCGGTGGATAAGGAGCCCAAAGCTACGCGCTCCGGCAACGCATACCTCCACGGCATGAAGAGCGTGACAAAAGGTTCCCTTGCATATATTGCGACGCAGGCGCATATGAGATCTGATCGTTCATTCGTCTTGTGGCTGATTATTCCTTCAGATTCGGTTTTTGTTGAGTTCCTCGTCTGTATTCTCATGGACAGACACAGTCACGGACTCCGAAAATTTCTACCATAGTATTCTCGACCTGTTGGAAGATCCTGACAAAAGTGAAGAAGTATGTGACCTGATGATGTGGTGGACTCGGTTCGCAATCACGCATTATATCTTGAGCTTTAAGTTAATATATTTGCAGTCGGGTGTTCCCTAATTCTTCCTCTTCAGAGTGCAGCATCAGCAAAAACAGCGCGCTGTCAAAAATCCAGGGAAAAATGTGCTGCCCTTCGAGAACGAGCTATTGCTGACGTTCATTAGTCCATTGTATTTCGTAGATGTATCGCGCTGTAATGCCTGTGAATGCAATAAAAGAATTCTCCATAATGTATAATGCAGCACTATGAGCTAGTATAGCGTGGGAATGCCCCTACCCAGAGACGGTTGTGATTGTGTATGGGTGACCAAACTATTGCCATCCCCTGTCGCACTGTCAATGATTGTAGATCACACCACTGTAGTCTACCTATATCAAGCTAGGTGTATTAGGTAGGATGCCAGCAACTTGCTAACACCAGGTAACTCATTGTCATGCCCTGTCACACTGTCAATGATTGTAGATTCTGCCACTGTAGTCTACCTATATAAAGCCAGGTGTATTAGTTAGGATGCCAGCACCTTGCTAACACCAGGCCACTCATTGTCATGCCCTGTTGCACTGTCAATGATTGTAGATCCCGCCACTGTAGTCTACCTATATAAAGCCAGGTGTATTAGGTGTGATGTCAGCAGCTTGCTAACACTAGGTAACTCATTGCCATCCCCTGTCGCACTGTCAATGATTGTAGATCCCGCCACTGTAGTCTACCTATATAAAGCTAGGTGTATTAGGTGTGAACGTCAGCACCTTGCTAACACCAGGTAACTCATTGCTGTCCCCCGTCGCACTGTCAATGATTGTAGATCCCGCCACTGTAGTCTACCTATATAAAGCTAGGTGTATTAGGTGGAACGTCAGCACCTTGCTAACACCAGGTAACTCATTGCTGTCCCCCGTCGCACTGTCAATGATTGTAGATCCCGCCACTGTAGTCTACCTATATAAAGCTAGGTGTATTAGGTGGAACGTCAGCACCTTGCTAACACCAGGTAACTCATTGCTGTCCCCGTCGCACTGTCAATGATTGTAGATCCCACCACTGTAGTCTACCTATATAAAGCTAGGTGTATTAGGTGGATTTAATAACAACTTAACAGTGTGTTGAAAGATTCCAATAGGTCTAACAATATTGTAACTTTGGCAGATTCTGCCAACGTAGTCTACCTATCTATTCCTTTATCATTTGATCTGCAATTGTGATATATATTTTCTATATTGTGTATTAGATAAAGTTAGTTAAATCTTTGTCATACTGAAGTCAAATTCCTGATGTCCCCAATCCAAGTCATTGTTGTCTTTGTCACCTCAGTGGTACAAAAGGGAGGAGAGTAGAACCACGAGGTTATTTTAATGACATGGACCACTCTATGTGACTGACTGAGCACAAAGCTAGTGCTTCCCTGTGAAGTGCAACAGCCTGATCCAAGTCATTGTGGTTGCCTCGGTGGTGAAAAAGGGAGGAGAGTTGACTGGCAAGGGGACAGGCCCCAAAGGATAAACACGGGAAGACCCAAGGGACATGTCTGCTGAGGAGCACACTTGTCCAATTACCCTGGTATAAACAAGATTAAACTGGAGTAAATAGTTTTCTCACTATATCACTATGGCCTAAAGCGGCAGCTGCCAGCTGGTGGTGTACAAATAATGGGTACATTTTTTTCCCTGGGAGGGTGTACAATGTCTGGTCAGAAACTTTTGTGGCTGGTAGTAGGTACATATTCACTGAGCCCTCAAGCACTGTGTCTCTTGATGATCGTCTTCTCTCGACTCAACGGCAAAAGAGCAACATATGGCCACTGTTTAGTTCAGGAAGTTTGGCTGCATGCCAGAAGGTTTCTTTTGAAGTCCAACAGTTATGTAAGTAAGACTACCATTTTTAGAAGGGGTGTGTAGGGGGTGCGCCTAGCTGTGAGCGTTCTATGAAAAGTCTAATAGCCTCGATTAACATTAACATTGACGTTGTTGTGTCTTGGTGGAACAGTACACTCTGGCACCAGCGAGAGGACAGCAGATGCAAGGCTAAAACCTCCAAGACACAGGAACAAGACAAGGACAGCAGTGAGAACAAGACAAGGACAGCAGCAAGAACCTCAAAACAAAGGCCCAAGGCAGCAAATGGCCAAAGCCAAAGCAAAGCAAAGCCTCAGACAAGCAAACACACAGCAAAAGCTGGAGGAAAGGATGTTTAGAACCTAACCCTAAGACATGCTATATATGACTATCTAAGACCTCGAACACCTCTGCAGGACCCCTGGCACCCATCGCTGCCAAACCTCACTGATCCATCGGCCCGGACCGTGTCTTTGTGCAATCGATATTCGAGCTCCACCACACCATTCCCAACACCGCAAACGCCCAGTGCACGTCAGCAACTGCTGACGTGACTTAGACGAATACGGACGACGGATGAGAGCAGGAAGAGGGAAGAAGGCGGGGAGGATAACGAGGGAGAGGAGATGGACGAGACGGGCAGGAAAGAAGACATCGAGTAATGTGAATGTTTGAATTTATCTGAATACGATCGACTGTGCCACGTTTTGCTCGTGGTCCACTAAGCTCGGGTTCGAGTAGCGTAGGGAGCTCGGGATACAATCCGCGCGATGGAGAACTTGGAGTGATTGTAAGACCTACTAAATATATTCGAAAACATCAGACGTTTGACTCACCGAGTTATAGCGCAGCTTCCGTGGTGTCAAGAGCGTCGTCGCCAGTCTGCATTCTCTTGGGTGCGAAAGTATGGGACGGAGGTGCGACAGGATAGAACAGAGCTGCGAGAGGGTCGCAAGAGGATGGGGTGGAGCCTGTGGAGGTGCAAGAGGATTGCAAGAGGATGGGACGGAGGTGCGAGAGGATGAGATGGAGGTGCGACAGGGTGCGACAGAGGTGCGATAGGGTGCAACAGAGGTGCGACAGAGGTGCGACAGGGTGCGAGAGAGGATGCATCAGAGGATGCAATGGATGTACGAGAGGGGTGCGAGATGATGCGCAGGATATCAATTAGTGTACTAAGAACTTGGGAATGATATGATCACATACTTGGAGCAAAGCTATTGAAACGCACCTGCAAAACTACCGAGCTGACGAATATGTTGAATGGTACTCGTGTTAGTGGAGGAAGTAGCGTCTGGAAGCATTGGAGCATTGGAGGTATCCTGAAGGCCCACATGGGAGGGGCCCTGGAGGCTCGTAAGGAGGTGCTGGAGGCCCGCGAGGGAATGCGAGAGCATGTACTCTTATTAGATGGCGGGAGGGTGGGTCTCACAGGCTAGTTTCCCATAACATAGAAACCGGGTCTCTATAGGCACCGAGAAGTGCTGCCTGAGGTGCGTGATTGGTAGCCTAACAGCCACGCTCTGTTAATGACCTGTAGCTCACTGGTGCTCGCAACAACATCTGCGTACTGACAAGTCTCTCAACATTAGAGGTGTACGGAGAGGTACGGAGTCCACCAGTTGTGACTGCCGTTTATGGGCCATGTCACAGGCGGTAACAGAGCGCGGCTGTTAGGCTTTCCATAGCGTCCCTAATCACCACAATGGCCACTATCGTGGAGGAGGAAAATGATTGGGAGCATGCAAATCGCACGAACTGGCGCGGCTTAGGACTTGCAGATCCAATCAAGAGGGTCGAGGTATTTTTTTCATTTCGCGTAGTCCTCATTGCACTTATTGTCGACACCTCAGGACAAATGGTTATTATTACCTGCATTCCTCAAAATTAAAGGTTTGGTCAAGCAGCATATCGACTCCTTTAATTATTTCGTCGATGTGGACATCAAAAACATTGTAAAAGGCAACAACAAGGTCACCTCAGATGTCGATCCTCGCTTTTGGCTCAAGTACACGGATATTCATGTCGGCTTCCCGGACCGCACAGACTTGGACGCGATAGACAAAAGTATCACGCCTCACGAATGTAGGCTACGCGACATCACTTATAGTGCCCCGATTCTTGTCACTATTCAATACACTCGAGGAAAGAACGTTGTGCGCAGACCTAACGTCAACATTGGACGACTGCCGATCATGTTGAGGAGCAACAAATGTGTGCTCACTGGCAGGAATGAAGCGCAGCTGGCTCGAATGACGGAGTGTCCACTTGATCCCGGAGGTTATTTTGTTGTCAAAGGCACGGAGAAGGTCATTCTTGTTCAAGAGCAGCTGAGCAAGAATCGCATAATCGTCGAAACTGACAGTGTCAAGGGGATCGTGCAAGCAACATGTACTTCGTGAGTCGTTCTCTATATCTTAACTTCTCTTCTTAAGACTCCTTTGGCTAATCCGCATTAAAGCTCAACTCATGGTGGGCTCAAGTCCAAAACCTATGTTGCCACGAAAAAAGGAAAAATATATCTCCGACACAATTGCATTCACGAAGATGTCCCGATTGTTATTGCTTTAAAAGCGCTCGGTATCCAGTCCGACAAAGAGATTCTTCTTTTAACTGCTGGAAATACAGAGGCCTATAAGATTGCCTTTTCTGCCAACCTTGAGGAGTCTGCCAAGTCGGGCGTATTCACGAGACATCAAGCACTTGAATGGATAGGATCCCGTGTAAAGGTCAACCGAAAAGTTGTAGGTCCACGAAGGCCCGCCTGGGAAGAAGCCTTAGAAGCACTTGCGACAATTATCCTAGCCCATGTTCCTGTGGTAGGTTTGGACTTCCGGTCCAAGGCGATTTTCGTGGCTACCATGACTCGCCGGGTTTTGATGGCGATGGATGATGAAAAAATGGTGGACGATCGGGATTATGTTGGCAACAAACGATTAGAACTGTAGGTCTATTTTCTATCTTTTGCCATTGTCGATGGGTCAATGTTACCTAGTGCGGGACAGTTACTTGCCTTGCTGTTCGAAGACCTATTCAAAACTTTCAATTCCAACCTCAAATCAGCTATCGATAAGGTTCTCAAGAAGCCGTCAAGGACCAATGAATTCGACGCTTTCAATACGATGCAATTCCAGGGAGATCACATAACCGCCGGATTTGTACGCGCCATTTCCACTGGGAATTGGTCATTGAAGAGGTTCAAAATGGAGCGTGCAGGAGTCACACATGTTCTCAGCAGACTGAGTTTCATATCTGCCCTCGGAATGATGACACGCATATCATCTCAATTTGAAAAGACTAGAAAGGTCAGCGGACCTCGTGCTTTACAGCCTAGTCAGTGGGGTATGCTATGTCCAAGTGATACTCCGGAAGGAGAAGCCTGTGGTTTAGTCAAGAATCTTGCCTTGATGACGCATATCACCACAGATGTAGAAGAAGGGCCAATCGTCCGTTTGGCATTAATGCTCGGCGTCGAAGGTGCGTTCGGATCGCGTCATACCTGTTTCTATTACGAAATACACTGCCAGATATCAGCTTAGCCACGGGCACGGAGATATACGGACCACATACATTTGTGGTCAATGTGAATGGCACAATCATTGGCCTGACTCGGTACCCGATGCGATTTGTAACAAACTTCCGCAGACTGCGCAGAGCGGGCCGCTTCAGCGAGTTTGTTGGTATTTATGTTAATCACCACCATCACGCTGTTCACATAGCAAGCGACGGTGGACGAATTTGTCGACCAATGATCATCGTGGAGAACGGCCGCCCAAGAGTCACGTCAGAACATATCGCGGTATGATTCTTTTTCTGATATTAAAGCAAGCTGGTAATTTGTTTTGGGTCGTTCAGCAACTCAAGCAAGGTACTGCCTCATTCGATGACTTCCTCCGAAATGGTCTTGTGGAATACCTCGATGTGAATGAAGAGAACGATTCCTATATCGCACTTTATGAGTCCGATATTGTCGCACTGACTACGCATCTGGAGATCGAACCGTTTACCATTTTGGGCGCTGTCGCCGGTCTTATACCATATCCCCACCACAATCAATCACCCCGAAACACCTATCAATGTGCTATGGGTAAACAGGCGATAGGCGCAATCGGGTACAACCAACTGAATAGGATCGACACGCTTCTGTACTTATCCGTGTATCCGCAACAGCCGATGGTCAAGACGAAGACCATTGAACTTATTGGGTACGATCGTCTGCCAGCTGGTCAAAATGCTACAGTTGCGGTGATGAGTTATTCTGGGTATGACATCGAAGATGCTCTCATTCAAAACAAAGTTGGTCACCATTTGCTGTTTTACATGTCAGCAGGTGATCTAACTTGACGTGTAGGCAAGTCTCGACCGTGGTTATGGAAGGTGTCAAGTTCTGCGCAAGAACGCTACCCTCATTCGGAAATACCCAAACGGCACGTGAGTGGTGTTTTTTTGGTTGACCGTATCTCTTTGTCTTAGCATCGATCTCTAGCTTTGATCGGTTGGCAGATGCTCCCTTGGATGAGAACGGGCAAACTCAGAAAAAATATGATATTATTCAACTCGACGGTCTCGCTGGCGTCGGCGAGCGGGTTGATCCGGGGGATGTCTATGTTAACAAGCAGATGCCAACGAATGCCAACGATAATACTTTCAGCGGCCAAGCCGCCGCGGTCCCTTACAAGAACGCACCGATGTCTTATAAATCCCCAGTTGCTGGTTACATTGACAAAGTCATGATCAGCGACACCGAAAACGACCAAACGTTGATCAAAGTCTTGATCCGCCAGACGCGGAGGCCGGAACTGGGTGATAAATTCTCTTCTCGACATGGCCAGAAAGGTGTATGCGGTCTGATCGTAAACCAAGAGGACATGCCCTTCAACGATCAAGGAATCAACCCCGGTAAAGTAAACATGTCCCTGACTGACGTTCACTTAGTTAATTTTGGGGTCAGATACCATCATGAACCCACATGGATTCCCATCTCGAATGACGGTTGGTAAGATGATCGAGCTTTTAGCAGGGAAGGTAACTTCCACCGACATTTACGTGCGGTTCTGTGGGCTAATGTTGCTTGGCAGGCCGGGGTCTTAAGTGGTAAACTGCAGTACGGTACAGCATTTGGGGGCTCCAAGGTACAGTACAGATACCAGCGCTAGCGCCAATCGAACTTTGATTACCAATTATCTTACCACAGGTCGAAGACATGTCCCGGATCTTAATTGAGCATGGTTTTAATTATGCCGGAAAAGATATGCTCACAAGCGGTATCACTGGTGAAGCCCTGGAAGCTTATGTCTATTTTGGTCCAATATACTATCAAGTATGTCAATTCGCTGCGTCGTATAAGGTTTCAGTTGACTGATTGTCTCACAGAAACTGAGTGAGAGAAGTCCCACATTAACATTGTCTACGATTGACTCCCATGCGCCACAGAACACATGGTAATGGATAAAATGCATGCCCGTGCTAGGTACGATCGAATGAGCCTGAGAAATCCTGGCGAATTTTTACTGACTTGTCTGAAGAGGCCCACGTGCGACTTTAACACGCCAGCCTACCGAAGGTCGGTCCCGCGAGGGTGGTCTACGGCTCGGGGAAATGGAGCGAGACTGTCTTATAGGTTATGGTGCTACTCAGTTGCTGCTCGAACGCCTGATGATTTCTTCCGACAAATTCGAGGTGAACGCTTGCCAGGAATGCGGACTGATGGGATACAACGGGTGGTGTACATACTGCAAGAGTTCGAAGAAGATGGCCAAGCTCACCATTCCGTACGCTGCAAAATTATTATTCCAGGAGGTTTGTCAGCGTTCGTACACTTCGTGTTAAGTACTGATTGTCCGTACAGCTGATGGCAATGAATGTCGTTCCCCGACTGATACTTGATGACGCATAATTGTATAACATAATACAACACAATGCTTCTTCCATCCTCCACCTGATCATTAGGGCTGTACAGCCTAACAGCTGTTGGTGGACAACCATTGCACCTGTGACTTGTCGGAAACCCGGCCCGTGTACACTGGAGTGTAATGTGATGATCATGTACAGCTGGAGTCGATCGATCTATATTGAGGACAGCCGAATTTGAGAGGATATAGCTAGCAACTGAAACTGCAATTTCCAACGTCCTCACTCGTGCTCCTGACAACAGTCTACAACCCTTACTATTTCTCAAAATTGTTGGAAATGTATGTCTTAGATCGAGAGAGATAACCAATCATAGGACTGATGACTTATTAGGGATAGCGCTGATCACGCTAAATTTGACTCGTTACTAGATCGCGAAAACCCTTTCAAGTCAAAAAAAATGGGTGGATTCCGATTGGTATGCTGTGCCAGAATACATGCTAGTGCATATACGAAAAGATGGAGGTGATAGAAGTGAATGGCGGTGTGTTGTGCATCGAGGTATGCATACCAACAAAGCTTAGCTGTTTCTAACGTAAAATAGTAATAGTGATAGTGAAACGTGAAAGTATGCAGAGCTCCGAGGGAATCGAAAGGAGTGTATCCCGGAGCCTCGGGAGTGACGAGTGGAAACTCTTCACGCTGTTGAGGTGCTTAGTACACTTGTTAGTCAGAGCGGTACGTACGGGAGTCAGACTCCTTACGAAGTTAACCGAGCATAACCGTTGTTGCAGGTGACTGAAGCTTGGAGCC